GAGTTCATGAAGACAAATATTGTGTCCTTGTTATTTAGCAGATTGATTCCTATACATTGTAAATGTCCAAATTGCCATATATAAATGACATGTTCCTTCAGGTGGAAGGAACACCATCTTCTGTTTCTCTAGATAGATTGTTTATTGACAAATTTTTCTTTGACTAAAAGCAATAACACTCTCTACGTCTTTTACTTGATTGGCCAGCTTCCTTGTCTCTGTAGAGATTCAACATATAGTTCCAGGAGAAGTTTTTGACATATATTCTAATATACTCCCTGGAGGAGTTCTCAAATCAATTTTTATACTTCCTGGAGAAGTTCTATTCCTTACCATTTATTTACGTGAATGTTTCATTCCAAACCTGTGTCAGATTCAGTAGAGTCCTACCTACACTTGTAGTCATGCCTTGTTATAAGCCTGGTGCTGCTACTGCTGCGGCCCTCAAAGCTGCAGATCAAGCCTGTGGTGAAGCTTCCAAGACTTCACAAGCAGCCTCCGATTCATCCATGTCATTTCTTCAACTTCCTTCACCTTTTGATAACCGCAGCCTCCGTCCCCGTACCCCTCAACGGATTTGAACAGATCACAGATTTGTTTCACAGCCAAAAGACTCGGGTCTTGTGATCCCTTCACCAAAATCCAATCAAATTACTTGACAAAGACGTCACAAGTGATGATAGAGGAAGTGAAATGTTGGTTCAGTCTTCAGAAGACAAAGAACCATCCTCATTGGCTAGATCTTCAGCATCACAATCTGGAGGCAAGCGAAGAAAAAAAAAGGTTTTGAAAAAGAAGAAAGTAAAGGTTAATAAGGGAAAGGGTTTGGCAACCAAAAACAAGGTGTGTGTAGATTCGTGTAAAGTGACCCTTTGTCACATCTTCAGCGTTCCTAAGTGCCAAAGGCACTTATTCAAATGGTTGATAACAATTTGGATATAGAGATGATTCTGAACCCAAAGAAGAGTCAAGCTGGACAAGCCAAGCAAACTGCTGAACAGACCAACAAACTTTTCAATTAATTCAAAGATGCTGAATGGGATTCCAAACATGTAAGTTGATATTTTCAGTTAATTCTTACCTCTGGGGTTGAACTTCTCTTCTCATCTATACCATCTTACTCTCTTAATTAGCCTTCCGACTCTGAACCAAAGAAGTACCCTTGTTCATGGTGTGGTAAGCACTATCAAGATGGGGCTACCAATCATTTCAACCTCAGAGGTCACAGGGATGGCACGGCCATTTGTAAACATTGTAAAGCTTGAGATAAGGCAATTGCTTCTGGTCTTAAACTACCTCCAACTCACCAAGAAGGAGAAGCTGCAAAGAAGGCAGATGAAGCAGCCAAAGGACACAAATCAACACTCCTTGACATGTTCTTAGAAATCCCAAAATTCACCGTACGATTGCTGAACTGCATGCTGGTCCTGTGGCTAGTGAGGCAAGTGCTGCATTTTAATCAATTGGCTGATCCGTTAATCATTGCAGCATTTCAGTTTGCCAATCCTTTGGCGGTTCTATACACTCCAGCTTGGGCAGCAAGGGAAGCAATGAAGATATATGAAGGTATGCATAATGAAGTGATCCAGTGATTACAGGTTATTTTTGGTTTTATTTTTGGTACTATTGTTACAATGCTCTTCTGAAATGTTACCTTTCATAGAACTTACCTGGAAAATTTTGCTTGATCCATGATGTGTGGACAACAAAGCAGGGTTGACGGGCTTTCATTGGTGTATTGGTTTCATACATCAATGAAAACTGGAAATTTCATGTACACCATCTGACTCTCAAGTTAGTCGCTTGGAGTCATTATGGAGTTTTACTGGCTTGGCCTGTTGGAAATTTTTTCATCAGACATGGGCTTCATAAAAAAATGTATTTTTTTCTATCTTTTGTGTTTTAAACTTCCATTATTTTATTTTACTTCTGATATCCACATGGTTGCTCAGACAACTGACTACGGAGGCACAAACAACCTCACCGCAAAACAGCTATAGGCCATGTTTCAATCAGCAGAAGACCCAGTCTTCTGGGATTTGAGCTGACATCAGATTTGATGCTATGCTCACAAGCTAGCATTGACTGTAAAGGCAGGTCTAGCAACTCTCAAGGTTAAATTAGGAGCATCCAAACCAACTGCATCAAGAGGTTGGAAACTTTGTTTACTTTTACCCAATCTCCCCAAAAACCGCAAGCCCCCGAGAATTGTTCTGAATGACAGAGACAATATAATTAAGGACTGTAATCTAGAAACGTGTGCGGGAGACAGAAACTCTGATTTCAATGACAAAGCCGCAGCTGAAGCTGAAGAAGATGATTCGACCAAGATCATTTTGGGCAATTTGTTTTCAAAATCAATCCATGAGGTAAGTTTTCTTTATACTTTGTCTCTTCTGGTACTTTTCCTTTCACAGCTCACAAATTTCTCTCAAACAGTGTTCCAAAGTTAACAAAAAAATCTCCCAAAACGGGCCGTTAATGCAACTCTTCCATTCAATCGCGAGAAGAGGACTACACAGGGCCAGGCTTGATTGCAGCTTATGGTCAGTGTTGGAACATATTTTTGGACATGTTGGAACAATTACTGAGACCAGGAAGGTACACAATGATCATCAGATAAATAAGTTTGAGCATATTAATAACTTCTTTCTTACAGATTGTCAATCACATGTTAAACAAGGACAAAGACAACAACTTTGATGGGATATTCATATCTCCAGAGGACTGGAAGATGGTTGAGGCTCTTACAAAGGTTCTACATCTGAGGCCTTTTTTTAGTGAACATCAGGTAGTTCCTTACTGATACTGTGGGTTTTCTAACATTTCAGATCTTCTACATCTCCACCAAGTGCACGGAAGGTGATGCACCCAATGCAGGATTGGTCTTGTTCCAATACACCACAACAATTGGCGTGCTCAAGGCCATCAAAATAAAGACTCCATACCCTTGGCTAGCTAGTATAATTTGTACCATGATAATTTGACTTGAATATTATCAAGAAGAATCACTTCATTGCCACACAATCATCATGGAAACCATGTTAAATTCGAAATCTCGAGGCAATTTTTTTGAGAAATTCTTTCCTGAACGCAGCAAGTCAGCACACACTGTCTTGACTGAAGTATATGAGGAGTTCCTTCAAGTTCACCCCCCACCACATCCCCTACGCCAAAGGTACCTGAAACATCTGAATCAGCAACTCAACATATCTTCATCAAGCAAAACATCTTTCCATCACAAAACCTTGCGGAACAACCTGGCAATGCCAAACTTCAAGCTTACCTTTTGGGGAACTATATGTGCAACAACAACCAAGACATACTAGATTGGTGGGCTGTGGGTTAAATTTGTTCTATCAACTTATGCATTAAATAAATGCTTATCCTGACTTGTGTTCTGCCATTGTTAGTGTCACGCTCAGCATTTCCCAAATTTGGCTTTACTGACACGTGACTACCTCTGTTGTGTAGGTATGTCATGCGCCGGCAAGCGTACTTTCAGGGCTGCAGCTGATGTTATCACGGCTGATCATGGGGGTTTGGCTTTGCAAACAATTGAGCGCACTGTGGGAAGATGTGAGTGGCTCAAGAAGCGCTTTGTGCCCCCAGGAGACTATGGGGAAGCCATGCGCATTGCAGAAAAGATTATGAGCAAGCAAAAGAAGGGCAAGAAGGTCCTTTGGGTGGTTTTGATCATCATGTGATATCAATATCTTTTTCATGTACCCATCATTTCCCCAGCTCTCTCAGTTACTTACTGTTATGAAATTGATGGCAATTGTGCTGGCTTTCAAAAGGCCATTTTTGCAACTTCTCTGCGTTGCTAGAGAAAAAATTTTGTTGCGGTAAATTTGAGTTCACCACAACAAAATGAATAGTTTATAAACAGAATTGAGCTTGCAACAAAGCCCAATAAACCAATGCAATGAAAATGCCAAGCTGCAGCACAATTTTTGACTTTTTTCACTGTGTTTCGCTGTGATTGGGCGTTGAATACAATATGAGCTGCCAGAATTTTTTGGTCTTCATATTGTATTGGGTATTGGTTCAGATATGTCAGTCCCCTGATACAACATGCAAAGTGTCCAAAAAGTTGCATCCTATTGGATTGGTTCAGGCGTTGATATTAGAGTGAATGGCAAATTAGATAGAAAGCGGTTTGATTTTGAAAATTTGGACTCATGTCAATGGCCTATGGGTTATACAAGGCAGGGTTATGGTAATACAAGCCAACCCTCTATATAAGGCTTAATTGAGACATACTCATGCTTGTCTCAAGACTCGCCCTGTTGACTGGCAAAAGCAAGAGCATTTGGAGGGCTGTGAAAATGTTCAAGTTGGCTCGCGGCTTGCGGCCCGCAGGACTCTGGCCAGTACGTGTGACAACGCAGTGTACATTTCATAGCATTTCATGTATACAGCTATTCAAGAAATTAATGTCATGGTGGCAAAAATTTCTCAAAATCCCCCCCCCAATATAGCCAAGGTGCGCAGCACAGCACAGCTGTAACGCCTTGTGGCTTTGCATATCCGGCACAATCTGAGGAAATATCTTCCACTCCATACGGTATTGTTTGGCCAGGTTTGGCATCCCAGTTGATTCACCTACAAGCTATACCAACGTGGGTATAGCTTTGGTTCCCACTAACCCTTCACCACCTCCTCCACCCTTCATCAACGAGATCCACCCCGCTTTGGATCTCAAGCGCTGGACCTTGACCAACCATTGGAACGCCTATTGGCCTCCAATAGTTTGGTCAACCATTCAATCACCCACTGATTCCGTAAATCCACCTTCTTGCTACGGTTCTCATCCTCCTCACATTCCTCAACCACAGTTCTACCATCAGGACGAGTCACCTACAAAATGACGGCCTTCACCTCAAGTTCCTCATCAAGAATCCCTTTCAATTTTGGACGGAAGCAAACAACCTATGTGTTCCTAAGTTTTATTCAATTTCCCCATTCTCGCACTATGGTCAACAGAACCCTGTCCAATGTTCCATGGTGGGTTTCATTTGATTTTTTTAGGTTCTCTGCTTTCTCACATCCCTCTCCCCTTCAATATGTTCAATCCTAATGATTGGATTCACCTTTCCGTTTGTCCCAGCAAACCGGTCACCAATCAAATCAACTGCATGAGCTGATCAATTCGGACTCGCAGCTATCTAGCAAGCCAGATCAATGGTACACCCCTGTGAGTAACGTACCTGTTGCTCAATATCTCCCTATGCCTATCATCACCTCTTCTGTCCTGACATTTTATGTTCTCCCTTGTCACCAGTAATGATAGCACGATTTTTTGGCATGTCTCCCTTACAGGACCTGTCGAGAGGGCCTTATCATCCAAGTGCTCTCATCACCCTGTCGATGAGCCAATATGTGCATTGTGATCCTGCCGGCGTGACCCCTTCCTGTTCACAAATGTCCTCTGTATTCTCCAACCCTCATATCAACGCTTTGATTCTGGATTCCGCCCAAACCCAAGGTCACACACCCTTGACCTCACCTGCCACGGTCTGCACCCCTGTGTCAAATGTCACCACCTCGAAGAAGAGGCAGGCATCTGTGAGTGATCGAGGCTCAGATGGTGATATCAAAGATCAAGGTAATTCCTTCCTCAATTTTTGCATTTAGGAAGACCTGAGTTTTGAAGCTGATTGAATCTTCCTTGGTCCAGAATTCCAGCAGCGCCTTGGGGCAGCTGTAGGTACCAGTGCTACCAATGTCGATCAGCCAGATGACAGTCTGTGAGATTGTACTTTCCCGTGTTAGTTGGTGCCATATTGACGTTTATTCTCTATTGCCTAATGCCGGATGAATTGCCAGGTGTTGACAATCCTCTAGGTGGCGGTACTGTGGACTCTGGAGGCCCCAATCCAACCTTGGCTTGCTCCTTTCAGGTCTCCTTCAACTTATGGGAATTGCAAGTCCCTGTCGTCGAGCCAGCTGCTGATAACAAACGCAAAAAAGTGGTGTCTGACCTAGCGCTTGCAAAGACCCCGTACCCAAATACAAAAATTTTGCACCCAAGGTTCCCAACGAACTCATCAACATCAACCCGCATATACCCTTTGTTGCTTTCAAACTCAAGCTCTTCCAATCTTGCGACAAGAAGCAACCCTGGATATCTGAAGCTTTAAAGGAGGCCTGGTTGGCCAACACTGTTGACATTCAAGGGTTCATCAATGGAACTCGCAAGGTGAAGGCAAAGAAGATGGTCATTGATGACAAGGTGACTTACGCTGGGTTCATGAAGGCAGCCCAGAGTGTCCCCGCTTCCACCCCAATGGGTTTCAAAATCCACCACAAGAACCCAAAGATCACAAAGATCACAAACAACAAAATTCGGATTGCCAATGAGTGTAAGCAACTTGCCAATAATCAAAAGGAACTTTCCAAAGAGTCGGAAGGTGAGATTTTTAATGCTCACTCAGCAGGTGTAAGTCACCTTGGCGCTACTGAGATTCTCACAGGTCCTTTTATTCTGTTCCTATGCTGACATTCCGTTTTTACTTGTTTAGTCGGCTATCCTAAAGCCTGGCAAACGTAACTTGCAAACCTTGATGACTTGTTTTGCTAAAGACTTCAAGCGCTGCAAAAACGTCACCTCTGTTGCCAATCCGAAGAAACCCAAAGAGATCATCTTGCTGAATACTAGTTGCATCTGTACTTGGGCAGACAATTGGGTGAGTTGCGACTTAGGCCAATGGGGTAAACACAGCCCCCAATCACAGGTCACTGGCAGGCCAGGGCGACCAACTGATGTTGGGCAAATATGAGATTCTTATTGAACATGTATAATACATTTGCTAAACTTATGTAAGGTATTTATTGGACAGAGGACAAGTGTTAATTGTTAAGTTATGAACCAGTCACTACCACACTGTACAGTCAGTATTAGCTCAAGATCACATTCATGATAGGTGGCAAGTAATGAAGAACAATTCGGAAATGTCTGTCAGGCTCTTAGGCAGTCCCCTGAATGAGGTACAGCTGGGAGTCGGTACGCGTATTGACATACGGGAATGGGTCGAAAAGGCGTCCGGGTAGTGAGAACACGCGGGGTGGAACCATAACGTCCCATCCTCTCTGGCGGAGATACTTCCATCTCACGTGCCAGCAGAGGATGGACGTTAGGATGCAATGAGTGTGAAAAAATTATTTCCCTATAATTCCTGTCCTCTGTCAAAGGCTCATTTGTCCCACTTAAAAATTTCCTTACAAAAATTTATCAGTCCGTGCGTTTCTCATTTCACTACAGCCTTTTCTCTTATTCAGTCTTATATAAAAAACGAAAAATCCCCAAGTTTTTGTTGACCTCCCGCCCGCCCAAACTACTTAAAGACAAAAAAGACTGTTACCTTTTTATCCTCTACTACATCAAGTCAGATAAAAATTCTTCAGTATTGTTTGACAAAACTTGTTAGTCACCTAGAATGATTCCGCCCGCAGAACTCTCATGTGTTTCAGTTTATGTCAGGTTTTGAAAAACAAATTTTCTCTATTTCTTTCTTTTCTTAGTCTTTACTAGCGTTCTGTCATCTCATGCACGCTAATAAGACTCATTTGCCTCACGGCAGTCAAGTGTAAACCGGCGGTTAATCTGCCAGATCCCAGACCCATTCCCATATTGTCATTGTCAATTGTACAAGTGTTTTTGAACAAAGATGGTGCCTTGATCAAATCCCTCTACAATCGAATTTCAAGTCTTTGGTAAACTAGACTATAATTCATCCATATCCATGTCATCATCCAGTGCTTGTACAAATCCCTGAATGAATTGCAAAAATCAGTATACATCAGAAACTCATCTTCAACAAAGACTCACCAGATTCATCAATTCAACTGTTGAGATTGTTGGGTGTTGAATATCAAAAGTGCCTGTTTTGTTCTTGATGACCACTAGCTGCCCAATGAACTTGTTGCACTCAATGACATGATATCCTCCATGCTTGTCGTATAGCACTGAGGTGTCCAGCAAGTCTGGAAATGAATAGTACAGATTTTTGTGTTTGTTGTCATTGTCAGAAAGAGGTATCAATGAATTGACAACAAGTAGTGGATGTTCAGAATTGGGAAGCTTGATAATGTCAGTGATACATCCCTTCCATTTACATGAGTTGTGAAGATACGAGATGTAGCTATTTCCAGGTGTCTTCTTGTAATTGCTATGTGGCTTTCTCAAAATGAGGATGCTTGTGGTCACATCAAATTTTGAGCGTCCAGTGTACTCTGCCCCTATATGACCATTCTTTTGAAGTGTCTCAAAGGTGATAGGACTAAGTTGTTTTTCTATCCACTTTGTCAAGCGCTTCCTGAAGATGTATTTTCCAAGGACTGGATCATTTTCAAACACCACATGATTGTTATTCATCATGGCTCGGAAAAAGCTATGCCTGGAATAGTACTGAAGTAATGACTCGCCTTCCCGTTCTGGTCATGGAAAAAGAATGTCAGCTGATTGTTTATACGACTAAGATTGAGATAGGGACAGACTCTGATTTCCATTTTTCTGCGCAGCAACTAGGCTTCCAATTATCCGCTCCCCTGACCAGCTAGCCATATAAGCAAGTGGCCCAAGAAGTGTTGAGATGGGGCCGATGTGTTCAGGAAAATGCAAGTTAGGCTTTTTCATTATATGAGGCCATCCATCTCCCAGGCTGGCTTGGTGCTGTTCCACCAACTTTGTGAGCTCTGATAAATAATGAGTAGTTGTCTCATATATTATCACTAAATATTCAATGATTAATTGGTAATTGTCCAACATATTTTCAATAAATGACCAATAAAATCCTGATTTAGTTGGTTGCCCTGGCCTGCCAGTGACCTGTGATTGGGGGCTGTGAAATGGGGTGGATGAAGTGAACCCGCCTACAAAAAGGCCTGAGTTTACCTAGTTCCCGCGAGAAGGAGAAGAACAAGCTCCTTGGTTTGACCCACCATACCCCATCAGAGTCGTCCAATGCAACGGGTTCCGTGGTCAACCACAACTACTATGGTGGACCTTTTCCTGTGGCCGGTTTCCCAGGGCATGTGCCCCAAATTCCCTTTGGTGTCCTGCCTCTCTTGAACCCTCCGTCCAACCCTCCGCCTCCTGAAGTACCAACTCCCTGGCTCCGATTGTCACCCCTCCTCATATGTCATCTTTCGAGGAGCTCTTGCAGTTTGCGGGTATCACTGTGGACATGAAGAAGACTCGTGACGTCTTGGCTGATGAAGGTATCAACAATTTTGGTCGGTTGTTGGATCGTCAGACTTGTTCCTTTTCTAATCTCCAAAGCATGGGTATTCCCTTTGCTCACGCTGATGACATTTGAAAGGCCATTCCCAATTTCAACAAATATCTGAAATCTATCTAAACCTGGTGCTTGTTTGTTACGTTTGTTATCCCCATGTTATGTTTGGATCAACCTTGTGATTGTTTGCCATCCCCTTGTGATCTTTGGTTATGTGTTAATGCTGTTTCTGGTCCTGATTGATGAGGAATCTATCTAGTGTCTTTGCTAAAAAAAACCCCAAACACTTTCACATCCAGGCTGAGATTGTGGAAAACATTCCACGCCTTCCGGAGAGAGACCCAGTTATCTCGTGAGACTGAGACACCAATGACATGCACGTCCTGAGTGCGAGACCCCTCTCCAAAGACATCTTTTGCTGAAACTGAAAGATGTCCGTCCACGTACTTAGATACTTAGTCTGCAAGACCTTTACCATTGTGGTCACAACTACCAGATGTGAACGCAAATTGGCATCTGTTTGGTACTTCTTGGGATTAGGTCGTAATTTCTCACATGAGGCACAGTCACGCACAAGTCACACACAGTGGTGAATCAATTGGTGGGGGTTAATTGCAACGCCGGGGTGAGACCACACAAAGGAAACAAGCGGTTCAGGCTAACAAACAGTGCAAACAATCTACACGGATGAATCAAAGGAACCCGGGGATACACGTAATTGCTCATCATGTCACACCTACAACCAATACCCACATACCACGTAAAGCTTATGCATCAGAGCCCCAGTGAATAACTTCCAGGTCGCATCAAGGATTGCATCAAGTTTCTCATCACCTAAAGCTTGCTGAAGCTCCTGGGATTGGCAAAAGTAAGATTTCAGCACACTGAATGGCTTCTTGATAGGATTCAGATCTGGTGAGTATGGTGGGAGGTAGAGAATGCGGATTCCATGTTCTTCAGCCATCTCGGCAATGCGGCCCCCGTGATGGATTTGGGTGTTGTCCATCACCAATACCGAGTTGGCCTGAGGATACGGGTTCATGACTTGGAACTATTGGCCCAACATCGGCCAGTCAATAATCATCATCAGAGGCTGTAAGCGTGAAACATGTCACTTACCAAACGGTGTTTGAGGTAGCTCTCAGAATCCTCTCGGAAGTAGCTGCCCTCTTGGCAGTCAACTGCCAACACTCCTCCTCGGAACACTGCTGGGATGAGCGAGTATTGTTTACCGCCTTGACTCCGTGGGATCCGGCTGGTACATTGTTCAAGTCGAGCCCGGCCATACTGCCTCCCTAGATAACGCTCCTGGATTGAACACTCGTCTGAACGTTTTCAAAGTATCATATTGAGAGACATCAATATCAGATTTGAGGAAGTGGAAATGCAAACAAGATGAAAAAACTAACCTAAGAAAACAAGCATGTTGGGGGTTAGCGCGCCAACAGCATGTAAAAACTTAGCACGCTTAGAGGGACTCTGATTCAGGTGAACCGTCCAAGCCTTCTTGAGTGTCATGTTCAGACAATCCTTGAGGTCACTCAACATAGTTTGTAATGAGACCCACTGCGCGGTCTCTCGATATACGGCGTAGCGGTACTCATCCAAGTAAAGAGCTGGATTGGCGTCCAATAGCTCCAAAATAAGGTCACAGTCCTTGTCGGTCAAGGCAGTATTTCAACCAAGTGCTTGATATTTTTCAGGGTTACAAACAACTGATTTGGTTTGTAGATACAAAGCTTTCCATCTCTCTATGGTGCGGGAAGTTACTAGGGATTTCAGCAGTCGCCGAACTTGGTTGATGGTTTTGCCCTCGCGGAGGTACTGGATTGCCAGTACCTTGATCCCAGCATCGTACTTGCAAGGTCGGTATTGCATGGCTAGATCATGAACAAATGAGGTCAGAAATATCAAAGTGTGAGGGGAGATGACAAGGGTGGAGACAAACCATTGGGGAAGAGCTACCTGGGGTGCAAGTTGCAGGTCAGGTGTGAAATTTTTTTTCTGACCAAATCAATCAAGTGTGGGATCAGTGGTCAGGGGCTGATAGGTTTTGGGGTTGAGTGAATCTGTGATGCAGTACCCGCTGTGCTGCGCTGCACATCTCGGCTGTATTTGGGGGGAACTTTGATAAATTATTGCCACCATGACATTAATTTCTTGAATAGCTGTAATATCATTGCAATATTCCCAAAAAGTGCTGCCATGTATCAAAGCGTATTGACAAGCTCACATAAAATCCCATTAGAGCATCAGCACCGGGACCTTGTAAAAGAGGTCCCTGTATCTGACATATGCAACAGGAGAGCAGGTGTATTGCACCTTTCCCGGAAAATTGTAAAAATTTGAAGAAACCAATGCTGTGTAAATGTACAAATGTACAGATCATACCGATGACCAGGTTGGGGCTTTGGGTCTAATCAAGAAGACTCGTGCAAGGTTGTAGGGTGTTGGATAGAGAAGATTGGTGTAAAGTTTTGATGTTTGGTCCCGTTTGGTGGATTTTGGAATATACACTGCAGTCCATTAATGGACAGCAGCGGGATGATTTTACACGACACGTAAATCATACAGGTCATATACAAGATCCAGTGCCTCATGTTTAATCTCACGAGTTTGTAAAATGGCACATATTTGCCATTTTACAAGGTCCCGGTGCTGATGCTCTTATGCCAAAGATGGCAAAGGTCATTCATTGAACATTGTTGATCATCCCCTACACCAGTATCAACCTCACAAGTCAAGAACATTTTGATGTACCATTTCCAAGCAAACCCAATAGTCTACTCATGAAAGGTATTACTAATGGTAACTTATTGGCAAGTGCAAGGAAGATCCATCCAAAGAAGTGGATTGGATGTTAATATATTGTTGAAAGAAGACATAGATCAATATCAAGTATGGATAAATCCTTCTGCCATTCTCAGATGATGAATCCTCTGCAATCCCAATTGCCATCACATTCAAAAAAAACAGTCATTTTTAAAATTGTGTTGATTGCCACTGCTCCAGCAGCATAGATTGCAAAGTTCCCAACTGCTGGCAGTCTTGCAAGAAGCACTTAGTAAAACCAAAGGCCTTCCCAATTCTGATCTCCACCTTTGGTAGACCATCCATTTCACCCTGACTACCATCACACACATCACACTCATTGATACGTGTTTTTTTAAAAAGGAGTGAAGGATCAAGGCAACCCGAAAGGATATGGGAATGTATTTCATCATCCTAGGCTCAGTATCACGCGGTTGGGAGGATTAAGGCGTGTGACACACAGTGACATTCAAATACTGTGAAATGTTTGAAATGATGTGAAATGGCTAGCGGCCCGTGGGCCGGCCAGAAAAGTTCACGGCCCTTCGAATTCTCTGGCAAAAGCACTTCGTTTGAAGTTCATCAAGTGAAGGACAAGACCGAGATAAACCATCATCGCCGCCATTACAAACTTATTCTTGACTCGCGATGAGCACCAAGAGTCGATTACCAAAATTAGGTAACTCCTCCAATTCCTCCACCTCTACCACTCCGAGACAGGTCAGTCGTTCAGTCGCTCCAGCCTTGATCATTGATCGTATTATCCATAAATACTTGAAATCAATCAGAAGGAAGACCCAACTCATACCAGCTGGATTGTGTTTATCGGATGAAACCTTCTACACTATCATTACAGCGTGTTGTGTATCAAATTGCATCCAGTTTGATCTTTGATTTAGATCATGATACTTGATTTATATCTTCCTGTGAATGGTTTTCATCAATTTAATTCTTCTTGATTCTTTTGATATTTAGCGTTATCTTGCTCAATTATCTTCTCAGATGGAGAAAATCTCTCATCAATCCGATCGATTATCACGTTTAGTTCAACAAACAACTGAACAACTAGAAGGACAAAGACAGTTAGGAATTTATTATAGTTCAATGTAAGCATTTCTTACTTTAAACGAGTTATCATCATATCGCGTTTCTTGAGCTCATCTTGCTGTTTCTACCATCAATTTCTCATTATCTTTTTGACTTGCCATAGGTTAATGGCTGCTGGACGCGTCTTTAATGCAGAAGAGACAAATAGCTCGCCGTCTTCTACTCATCAGTCTGCCTCACCTTCTCCATCTCTCTGAACATTACCTTTATTCCTTTTTTATCAACGTTGTCTTGTAACCCTACTACTAGGCTGCATGTTGACTCATAATGTTCATGTCCCTCACCAAAGCTCACGTCTATGTGCAACTTCTGATACGATTCATGAGAAAAATCTTCCAGTGCTAGGTAGTCTCCTGTTGATGATCGAGAAGGTTGAACTTGACTTGGCAAAATCATGTCTTTCAACTGAAACTGATCGCTTGCACTTTTAGTGTCAAAAAGCATTGAAGGCACAAGTTTGGGAGTGAATGCAAACCAATTTCATGAGCTGACTGCCTTAACTGATGATAATTTCAGACCCATATATGAATATCAAATGGGCACCAAGGAAAACCTGACTTTGTACCATGAAGGATGTAATTCTAGCAAAAGGATTGTATTGGACTCGGTCGCTTTAAGTAAACTTGACATTCAAGTCCTGGTTCTGTTTTGAAAGAGTGGGTTTTTTGTTACAGACCGTCCTTATGGATTGCGCTGTCTTTTTGTTGTCATTCTGACTCTTGATCCTCATGACAATCATGACGTACACAAGTCATCTTTTTATGAGAGATACTTGAACATGTATGGTAGCATCCAAGCCAGAATACGGTAAAGATGAGTAATCATTGAATAGAACTCATGAATGAGTTCAAACAGAATAAATGACCAATACCAATGCTGTTGTATGTCATTCTATGGGCTAGTGTTTTGTGGTTTCATGAAAAGGCCATTACACTGACAAAGCAGTCAACTCACACACACAGAGAATATGCAAACCTGATCCACACAGCTGCCACATCTTTCATTCATCTGGATGAAATGATGATCCCACAATACCTCAGAGAGATGCAAAGCAAACTAAAGACAGTCGAAAGGACAAGTCTTTTGAGTAGTGTTTCACTTGCCTACTATCATCAGGTGTTTTTGTAAGCTGTTCTCCTGTAAGTGAACAGAAAAGCACATCCAGAGAAGAATGAAAGTGAAATCAAAACGAATGTTCTTGAATTAAGCAATAGGGGTTTCCATCTCAAAAATTTAAAATATCTATAAATATAATTATAATGAATTCAATAAGATATAGATAAAGAGAAAGGGTACAGAAAGATAGACCTAGACTTCATAATCAGATCAATTCAAAAATCATGAAAGTGAGAAGTAGAAAGTAATATCTTAATTTGAAATGAAGGTTTTCGATTCGATACATCTTGAGGAAAAATAGATGTATGAGAAGCAAAAAAAAGAAACATAGAAATGCACAAGACGTGCTACTCTTCCCTCGTCTTCACTATGGCCACCCTAATAAAAAATGAAACAAATCAAATTCCAGAGAAGTATCCAATTTATAAAAGCCTGAGAAGAATGTTGACAGTACTAAGACCAACTAATTGATGTAAACCGATTCATATGAGCCATCATCTTGAATAAGATACCAGCCATTAAACACCAGATTTTCTCGGTTTTAATTGATTACGAATGGCATTGATACTATGAGGAAATACACCTTTGCGAGATGGACTTGGTTTGAGAGGACTAATATTCACCATAGCCGGATTCGTAAGAGTAAGACAAGGAGATCGATTATCAAAAAGATTCATAGAATCCATAGATCTGTTTATGTCTGAACGAATTTCTGCAGTTTCATACATACTTTCGAATTCATGTTGTTGATGATGTAAATCAGTAGCAGTTCTACTTGCTTTTAAATTTCCATATGGGTTTAAACTATGAGGATTGTGTGGTTGTGATAAATTGACTAAACTAGATTTACGTGTTGATGAAAGTTGGAATTGGTTTGGAATTTTAGGTACTGGTGGTAATGAATCTTCCGAAGTTGGATTACTTAACCAAAACCTACGACCACGATCGAATGATTTAGAAGTTCTTAATACACTATGAAATAACCTATCAGTATCGGCATGAGGAGCTGAAAAAGTGGGAGTTCTAGCTCTACTGATTGGTCTAGGTCGATCGATCAAACTACGTTTCGGTTCTCTGGGTAATTCATTTGATCCTCTGAATTGAACTTCATCTCCATTTTCCTTCTCCGAATTCGAAGAAGTCGTACTGGCTGTTTTGTATTTCGGAAAACTTTGTGATGGTGATTTGTTATAATCGCTTACAGCTGTCCTTGGAGTTATAGGAGATTGAAGGCTAGGAGTGGTGTTGGGAGTCCAATCGCTCGGTGCCGCCGATGCCTGTGAAAAGACGCTCTCGCGACCAGAATATATTGAAACGGGATCTCCGTGTCGATTTCTTTCGAACGTTTGCATGTTGGGAGGGGGACTGTTGAGAAAACTGAGTGGATGATCGGGTGTTGATTTAATCATTTCGGATGGTTGATTTTGACTTGGGAGATAGTTTTGATAAGTTGGTGTACGTGGAATGGTTGACTTAGAAGCCTGAGAGTAGAGACTGGCGGTTCCCGATTCGATCTTTGTCCGAGAAAGAGGCGCTTTCTAGAATCAGTCAAAAATAAAAATGTAAGGATGAATCCATAGGTACATAGTCATGGATGTTTGAATGTAAACAGTCAGATGAAGCATAACTCACAGTGCGTATAGCAAGCGAAGGTGATGGTTTGAGCTGATGGCAATTGGTTACTGAGACTTTGGAGCACATGGTGATAGGAAAATGCAAACTGATGAAATATGACCGATTGGTTAGAAACAAGGAAATCCGGCGGATGTATACGAATCAGTCAGGTTGATAACTCGAAGAGGGTGATGACTTCCTGATCTGAGATCAAGATCATCAAAGTCATGGGAAGGACGGATTCAAAGGAATTTATGATATGGAGATGATAATTTACTCACGTACCTAGATAATGACTGGCGCTGATCACTCTCCTTCGCTCTCACCACGATTAATTTGAGAGGGTAAGTAGATTATAATTTATGCAACTCGATGTTAATGGGGTTCAGGATCAAGACACCAAGGAGCTGGAGTTTGAGTCACGTTCGAAGGTATGTAAGTCTTAAGATGAGGATATTAAAACTTTGAACAAAGGAATGATTATGTACAATTTCGGATTGAATTGAGCACAAGCCTTTGGCACTGCATGAGGCTTGAAAGATATACTTACATACAGTGGTGATATCAACTAATTTAAAGAAAACCACGTTGAATGTATTTTACATGAATCGCGATGAATGATTAAGACGCGTTGACATATGTCAAGACTAAGTTAAAGAAGGTTAAAGACTGCAGAGTTTCGTGACAAAGGATGCGTAGATAGTTATCATTAATCTGCATCTCTGAAGACGAAAGACTGAGAAGTGAAATCGAGGTGACTTTCTCTCAACCCGCTGAAATCGATCGCGCCATGCAGGGAAGGGCGGCCCGACTGTGTACATACCATGGGACCACAAAGGATCTTAGAGGGACCAGTTTTATCAATTATGGGGCAGAAACTTTCAATCAAGACTTTGACTTTCCTCGAGAAACGACTGCAATCAGATTACCCAATGACAACTTGACCAGGATCCTTGTCTAATTGGAAGTTTAGTTCCTCATTCCAACGACCAAAGGAAAAGTAGGAGACCATCTATTACCGCTCCGCTATACGAGCGACACCGGTCTTGGTCATCTTTACACCGTCATCTCTTGTGAAGGCATTACAACAAAAAAGCAAAACGGTAATCATGATAGGCAAACACTAGGGGCAACATATCAATATATCATATGGTACCCCCGGGTGTTTTATGGGACTCGAGTGACCTGTCATAATTGCATTAATCTTTCTTCGGACATGCGGTAACCTTTGGAAGCAGAAAATCCTAAGCACTAGGAAAGAGGATGCGATGAGTTTGACCCGCATGAAAAACACTTGAAGCGACCTCTTCGTGTCAACATGAAAAGAGCTTCATTTCAGGGCATTGACAAATGAGATCATAGGCTATTTCTCCTGAATATCCTGATGCACCGATTTCCGTGGATCAAAGCATTGATTTAGGTCCATAGCTTTCCCGCTTCGAGGAGATATTGACACATCTAGAAATGTGCGAAGCCGCACGCGGTACCCGCGAGGATTACTTGATCCCTAGAAAGAACATTCAGTCATTTTCTCTCATTCATTGAACTTGCTGGTTTTGACAGGTTTATCTTTCAAGCTTTGGTGTTCATTTTCCCGTGCGTCTTGACCTTCAAGCATCAAAGATCTGGACCATCATGGCGACTGATCAAAGAGACAACTCCTACTGTGAGACGTTTGTCTTTTCATTGGTACCACGTCGTTTCAACCCACCAAACTCTTGTCATCAACATAAACATACTTGCGCATCGAGGTGTATATCACTCCGCTCCGCTTCATTTCACTACTCCAGCAAATCGCTCCAATCTAAGTAATTTCTCCGAGGTTTATTGTCCGCGTTTTCATGATAAGGTGAAGATATAATCTAAATGATCGAAGCATTTTTCTCAAATATCTTATGCACCTTTCTTGTCTCTCTTTTACAGTCATTACCTTTTCAATTTTTCTATCTGATCTCACTCGACTTGCAGGTTTTGAGCTTCCGCAGAATCAATTCTGAAGGATTGACTGGTATCTGATCAGCCCAGTGAACTTTTGGTAGGCGCACTGACTAGCATGTTATTGTTGAGAAGCTCGACATTTACTGATGTGATTGTGCAACAATTTTAACAAATCAGCTCATCCAGAACTCGCTATGAACTCTCCTTCTACATCACATCGTCCCGCGACATCTCTTCGTTCATTTAAGTCACTCGTCAGAAGTCGAACCCAAACTTTCGCCCATAGGGAGCCTTTCGTACCCCGAAGTCAGATTGATGCCCTCAAGACTGAAAAGCATGCAGGCGATATTCATTCAGAGATGAAGATTGAGACAGGAAAAGCTGATTTATCAAGAACGACTTCAACGCCCATCGAAATTGCTTCAGACGATGCCGAAACTCTTACTTTGAATCAAAGTGATGCGACTTCGCCAACCCGGTCCATCTTTCCATCGAAGTCATCTAGTCGTCCAACCCTACGCCAAAGAAGATTCAGTCGATCAATGCAATCTCTGAGTCGTGAGTTCAAGTTCGATGGCGGTGAATCATCTTTGTCTTCTGGGAATCTTCATAAAACATTTCGCAAATGGCAAGCACCTAGGGATAGTTACATAGAGATTGATAGCGATCCAGACGACTGTCCAGAAGACTTCCAAGTTGTGGTGGCTGTGATTGCTACCGTTACTGCAAAGCCCGTTCTCACGCCATTGGTGACACCTAAACAGTCTGCCCACTTTCAGCACTCCGACTTTCCTGAACTCCCCACGAATATCTCTGCGATCTCTGCAGCAAACTTTCCAGAATTTTATACTTCTACCTCAACCCTACCCGTGGTCTCTAGTCAGGATGGTGCCGGCTCGGTGGAAACCGGAAAGCTGGATGATGGCCCAATGGAGAACATTTCAACCTCTGCGGAACTCAAATCACCCAAATCCCCTTCGGATAAATCGAGCTTTGGATCTTCAGCAGATATAGGCTTGAACCGCTCGACTGGTCCCAGCTTGAGTAGCTCGATTGGTCCCAGCTCAGACAATTCATGCGGCATAAGTTTGAGAGGTGGTCCGACGCCCAGCACAGCTCTCGCCGTCAAGAGTCCAGTGAAGGATCCTTGTCTACCCCTTTCAATCCAACCGAACGGATTCAGTTCTCCGTCTTATCCTAAATTAATACGGACTCCTATTCACGCTACGCATATCAGATCAGAAATCCCGAGAAGAGGTTCCGAGGGAGTCTTACCGAAGCTTCCCACAAGACCCAAACGATCAGGGACTTTGCCCTCACGAAACTTCACGAAGGACTCACCACTGGCACCTGCCACAGATACTTTAGCATGTCCATGGGAAGTAGAAGAAAGTCAAGAACTACAACCTTTTATAAAAACAGTAGATCAGACCAACACCACAGATTGCAATAAGAGTATCTCATCACGTCACAAGTATAGGCCGCTGAAAGAGAAAATAGGCGCGAGTTCATTCTTTCGTAAATTGGCTCATAAAATTTCTTCGCCTAATAAATATTATAATAGATCAGATTCACCAGCTCCTATAGAAAGATAGTATTTGAACTTTTCACTCTTTTCTCAATATTTTCTTCTCTTTATCTCAAGAATTCGATATTTCGTTGCTTTCCTTGATCAAAGATCACTTTGAGATAAGCCTTTTAATTGATTTTCAATCTTGATCGACTGGTGTCATCTGCATATTATTTTGTTGTTGATTCAGCCTTTGTGTCCTTTAAATTTCATGTATTCTGATATTTATTCCTATTTACAATTCCTCATTACTTCGATAGTGCTTGTCATAGCTTTTAGATCTTACATCTTTTCAATACTTGAAATTACCCTCATTTACCCGTCTTACAAACGTGCTGATAGTACAGATAATGTGACTAGAACTTGATTTTTCTGAACTAACCTCATACTGCACGACACGAGTGAGCCTTCGATTTGTATGAGGCCTCCAAAAAGAATGATGCGTGTGTGTCGAATCCCCGGTTGGGGTATATGGTGTTATGAGAATCCTAAGCGATGTTGAGAGTCACGTCTATCACCCACCAGAGAATTGATCATAGGTCATCGTGTATTATTTACCAAATTCCATGCGCCCCTCAAAGCTGACCACGAGGAATGAGATTAAGAAGACTACTACTATCCCCAGCAATAAACCTTTGTAAAACCTGACATCATGGGGATGTTTGTTATCATTTCTGGGAGAGAGCAAATGTCTTGACACCTAAACCAACCAATGGAACAGGTCGTAGATCTAGAGCGTATGTACCCAGTCATCTACCTGAACTCTATTTTTGAAAAAGAAGACCAAAATTTGGTCCAGCTCCATTTGAACCGGGACACTACACTACACACTAAGTGTAGTATTTGCTTTGACTACAGCAGAATTTTTATTTGTATTTCAATCGGTATATACGCACAAACTGCTTGTTGGGAAAGTTGAAGTGACTATTGGCTCCAGTCTTCAAGGATTACAATCTTGAAATCAAAATTGATTAGTGAGTAATATTGTTTACATAAGTAGTCAAACATGTGTTTGATATAGTCTGGAAATACCAATGTATGGCATCTCAAAGAACATATGAGGCACATTTTGTTTTGTAAGAAGGAAATATATGTGTGTTATATCAAGGGACTTGATTCAAAGATATTCAAAGATATTTATAAACATACCACACCCGTGAATCATATAGAGGTGATCTTATTCATTTCACTAGCTTCTCCGTTGTTGTACCTTCTTTTGATCCCATCCAACACATTGAATTGCACTACCATGATTATTGCTTGTGGGGGTTACCAGCTAATAAGTCTACCTAATTTTTCTTAAAAGTTGAGCCTGGAAGCTTTTGAGATGAGAAGCTATGACTGAGTTGGTGGTGGTAAATTTGATTGTAGTTCAAGTTTTATGAATATTCCAAATGTCTTTGGGAGGTATTCAATTTTCCAGGTCACAAAGTTTAAGGGGAGTGCAATCTGCAAGGGCAAGAAGATATAGGATAGAGAATTTACCCAGAATACTGATGGACTATCAGGCAGTGGAAGGGGAAGGGATGGGAATGAAAACCTGACGCCCTCTATAGACCTTGTTTGAAGCATCGCATCCTGGATTACACTTTTGACATTGTAAGACACAGTGAACATCACCTAGAAAGTCTTAATTGTTTTGAGATCTTTGATCAAAGAAGAACTGAGGACTAGGCATTCTGAGAGACATTTTTCTATTTTTCTGCTCTTGTTGCATTTGTGGTCCTCTTGAGAGACCCAACAAGTCTCAACTTTCAATGTATTGGGAATGAACCATTTACCAGGGAAGTAACCAAGCTAAATTACTTCACACTCATACCCATCAGAGCCCTTATCTTGCAAGCGAAATGAGGCTTCAAAAGCAACCTGAAAAGTCAAGTCATCAAGGAAGACCAATACCAAGATATGATTCTGATCCTTCGAAATAGACTCACTTTTATAATAGCTAGATACAATGTTCAAACACACACAACAGAAATTCATTATACGAAAGTGATGTTCATACCTTCATCATCTGTTTTGAATTGATAAGAAAATTTTCAAGCTTCAAAGAATCGAATGAAAACCAAATCAACCTCTTCGTTTCTTGGATTCTTCATCCCCACCTCTATGTTCTAAACCTCGTTTTACACCTTTCTTAGCTTCATCTAAGAAAGCATCGATTGCAAACGGATCGGCGGTAGCCATCGTGTCCCTTTCGAATTGTACAGGTCTGTCATACCGTACAAACAACCTAGATCAATGTTACATTCACAACACATCAAACGAAGAAAAAAGGGCACGCACCCATCTCGTGCTTCTTGCAGATCAGCTCCTTCAAATCCTCTACCAGCAACACCAAGCCCAAATCGATCATTCCTCATCGCACCAGTGATACCTTCTTCTGTACCACCACCATAACGTTCACCGCCATCATCGTCTCCATCCTGTGCTCCACCTCGTTTATAGATGGCAGCAGCAGCAGAACTGCCAGTAAAGAGAGGTTTATCATAAAGGTTATAAGAATCTTCATCACCAAATGTACCACTATAACTTTCTTGATTAAACAAACGTGAATCGATCATTGATTCTTTTGACATCGTCGGTTTAGCTAATCCTAATGCGATCTTTTCACTTATATCCCGATTTTGGGTTCTTGCTAAATGTTGTGCTCGTTTCTCGTTACCCATATTATTCATTCTCATCTCACGTTCACGATCCTTACGTCTTTCTCTTCTTAATTCGTCTCTAGCCTTCGCAGCTGCTTCATCACCGTCTTCTGCACCACTTTCTGAACCAGATCCCTCCTTACCACTCTCATCCGAGTCACTTCCATATCCTGCTAAAGTTGTAGGCATAGCTCCACCTCCTGAAGCGGCCACCACCCGAGGAATACCAGAACGTTCCTCTCGAGCTCGTTGGGCCAACAAACGTAGGTTTTCTTCCTTCTGTTCTTTTTCTTTCTGAGCCAATCGTTGTTGAAGTAATGAACGCTGTCTGACTTCTTCTCTGGCATGTCGATCAGCAATGTAAAGCGATTCGGACAATTGCGCAAATCGATCGTTGATATGAGTCTAAAAAATACAGAAAAACAATCGTCAACGTTTGTGGATGACTGCAGAAGAATTGACAAACAAAAGATTACATCTTGAAGTCCACGACCATCAGCCGCCAATCGTTTATCAAGTGGAATAGTATAACCTTTGTTATTCTTCCAATTCGAAATACAAGGTGGAATCATCCATTCTTTTTGTTCTAAACTAGTGACTTTTCTAGGTGGAGAGCGTAAGATAGGTGCAGGTGGAGAAGGTGGACCTCTTGGAATCTTTTTGTGTTTGAAACGTGGTGGTTCAAGTGGATCTTCTACTACTTCGACCATCTTGATTATTCTTTGTTTTCCTGCTCCATCTGCAGAACCTTCCATCGTATTAGGTGTATAACGTACAAAACTTACTGTACCACCTGTTTCAGGTACATGTTTAGGTTGAGCAGCTTTGATTTTGGAGTTTGTAAGCTTTTCGAGAGCTGCTCGAGTTCTTTGAGTGGTTGCGTCTACTTCTTCTTCTGATGGGCGTTCCATACTACGAGCTTCAGCTGACAAGTCTGCCCTGTGAGCGAGTGGAACGAGATCTTTGAATTGGGCTTGCACATGTCGTCCGTCTCGGTGACCTTGTTTCGCGATCTTCGTGTAATCAATCTTTCCTTCTCCATCTACAGTCAAGGCTAGCGTGTTCCCGACTGAAGCCTGAAAACGAGGTGAAAGTGAGTATAGGGTTTGATTGATTTGACTTGGAAGAGAAGTGTGCCCACATGCTTCTTGCGACCCATCTCAAGTGGGTACTGAGCCAAATGACATTCAGGATAAGCTCCTCCATCCCCGAAACTATTATGAAACACAACAATGATTCGTTCATGAGTAAAAAGTGATGATGGTGAACGAGCGACAAAAGTCTGATGAATTATAGGTGATAGTTTGAGCTGCCACGTACTGATCCGGTAACCGAGGCTTCCAACCGCGACGTGAACCGTATGGAGGAATGATAATCTGGTTTTCGAGTGTGAGTTGTTGAGTAGATTGAGCTATAGTTCCTTGGTCTTCTTCAACGAGTTCAACGCTTGGGTTAACAGGCTGAGGTAGACTTTGAAGTAGGCTCGCCATGATGTGCGATAGGCTAGGGAAGTGTTCGAAAGGTTAATGAAGCTTCTTTGAGGTGGATGATAGGTGTGGGGATAGTTGGTGTCGATGGTGAACTGAATGAGCTGGGAAGACTCGAACAAGTTGACAGAAAGTGACTTGAAAGTTGGCTGGAAGTTGGCTGGACTTAACTGAGCTACCCGGACCCGGACCCAGACACAGACATATCACCGCTGCTATCGCTATCCGCCATCCTCTCACATTCCTCTTGATCACTCAAGTTTATGTCCACTCTAAAACATCTTATATCTCAATCATTCCTGCCATCCAACGAACCTGACACCGGGTCACGAGATTCAAAAACGAACAAGTTGCTTGCATAACGTCAAAACCCCATCGAATGATATCTAAAACACTCCATTATACTGCCGAAATGAATATGCACAAGTTAAATTTATGTTGCACTCTGGCGTGACTGAAGTCAGTCAGATCCAAAGGATCAAGACAAGAACTTCGAGTTAAAGAATCTCATGTGATGTAAATAGCAGATAAATTTTGGTAGTATCGTGCAAAGATATGGTGTGCGATTTTCATAAGACGTACTCAATAGTTGCATTCGTGTGCGCAGCTCGCAATGGTCTATTCTGTACTTCCCTTTGCCAATCTTTCATAAGACTTGAGCAAGGGATGATGCGGAGAGTATTGGACAATGCTAGCAAAAGCCGCGCGAAGAGGAAAGTGTTGCGACAATCGACCTTGAAAAGCTCCAGCTTTTGGTATAGGCCATAAAATGCTCTTTGGCCAGTCAGCTCGAAATGACGCGAAATGACGAAGACGCCTGCTTATGAACAGCGAACGCTGAGAATGTTGTAAGGATTTCCATACATGATAGAAATAACAATACACCCTCAGCAATGAGCATTAGAAAAGACCAGAAAATCTAATCGCGAAAATCACCTCACAGAATTCCAAAAACAGTTTATCTCCATAACCAAACCCTCGAAGAACTCAAAATATATTCCTCACACCAGAGCCAAAAGAAAAGAATGTCATCTTCTTTTACTCACTTATTTCAAAACCTTCCTTTGGAAATTATTGATATAATCATAGATTTATACATTCATTCCGATCAATCCCAACCTAGCTATCCTCGAAACGGTCTTGCTGCCCCAGGTAATTCAGCTATCTTCTCTGTGATATTATCGTTGTATTGTCTTTTACTGATGATAATGAAAAACTTGTCCAATTTATCAGGAACTCGACTCAGTAGGCTAGCCTGCTTAAGCCATGAGATGTTCGAACGTTGCAATCGTCACACATGGAAAGTAAGCTTGGTTTTCTTCTCTCTCTTTCAAAATCTTGTTGAAATCCATTTGTGTTGACAGTTGCGGTTTTCTTGTAGAACGTGTTGATAAATTTAGGATCACCTCCAAGTCAAGGTTCAATACGTTCTTTGGAAAGACTTCTCAAAGTTGGACCTGAGATTACTTATCATATTCGTAATATCAAGGTAGAAATCTTTCTTTCGATTGGTGATGTATCATCTGGAGCTTTACTACCTTTTTTGAGAATGACAAGGGATGCTTTGACTCAATTAGTTGGACCGAGGATCAAGCGTTTTGATCTTGAGATTTCGTTCGTAGATCAACAGAATCCAGATGGCTCACTCCGAATGACATGGGTAACATTTCAAGAGCTAACTCGGGAGATACTCTCTTATGTTTCACATTGCAGGAACCTCGAGGTTTTAAAAATCATTGGTGAACCTACTTGGTTTGACCATGGAACATTGGCCCAAGTAATCAATCGTATGCCTCATTTAACCCAATTCGAGTATATTTCTAGACCGGCTGAGGTCGTGCCTGACTTCCAATCTGGTTCTGCATACCAGACACTCAGTCTCGCACTCTCATCGCTACGAAAGCTGGAGCGTTTGTCACTCTTAGAACTATTTCTTCCTCATGGCTCATGGTGCTCGATCAAGTGGAACAATTCACTCATGTCTCTCAGTGTTGGCAATCATGCTGGTGATTGCGAAAGATCAATGTTGGAGTTTGTGAGCCAATGGCAACACTCGCCACAAAATCTTGGAACTGATCAACTAAATATGTTTCAAGATCAACTCCCCAAGAATTTTCGACTTCATTTACATTCTCTCAATCACTGACTATCAGAGAAGAAAACTCGATGAACTTTATAAAATACTCGATCATTTCGAATGTCCAGAAATCGTAAGGCTTTGTTTAGATTCTTTTCTCTCGCAAGGTCTTCTAATCAGGTTTTGGGATAGATTCGAATGCACAGGAGGGAATGGCCTAAGCTTGTCAGATTACTGATTGGAACTATGGAACCACAAACCGAGTCAGAAACCTTTGAATACCAATCAGGATTCATGCTTTCAATGCTTCTACTACTAAGAAGACTCTTGATGCTTCACGGGAGGATTGGCATTTACAGGAAAGCCTCGAATTGATTGTGACAATGACCTGGATGTGTTCTTGAATCACTCTGATAGTAGCTGCGAAAGATGCTACATGGACCAGGAGATGATTGTTCTGATTGGATGGTGCCAATGGGCCATGAGACACGAGGTCAGTCCAAGTCGTCTAAATTTACTTGGCACAAAAACTTCAAGTTTCCTTGACAAAGCCGTGTCCCAGGGCAGATCCTATTAGTCAACATCAACAGCTTGGAGGCTGGTAGATATTCATCCGATAGTGTCTAGCAGCGAGCAGGGCTTTGCCTCCGCAAAAGTTCCCTGATCAAAGCAAAACCATAACAAGAGAGGAAAATCCCTAAGAAAACAATAACCAACCTCAAAACAAAACCGAATGATTGCATTGTAATAGTTCACAATCATATGACATTCTAAATATATAACATGATCAATTCTTTTTCTGTATCTGTTCAATGTACTTGTAGCTATAATCACACAATGAAATGATGTGTATGCATATCTATCTCTGAGGCCCTTCCAATCCAATGCCTATTATATCTCTTATTCCTTCATCCCGCACCTCACTTCCAGTGAGCCATGAAGACCCCAACAGACCTTTCACAAGGTGACAAAACCAATTGCCATCGGCATTCAAGTCAGTTGCAAATCCTCACGGAAGATATATCACATGTCTTCCTAAATGAAAACCTTCTAATCAGATGCAGATGATCTCTTAAACAACATGTCTGTATCAGCGCCATCTCACACAATTTTCTAAAGTGACCATCTTCTCTCTCTAACAAGCTTCTTGGTGTCTCAAACTCTACAATATTTCCTTCTTCTAAGACAATAATTTTGTCATAATTCAAGAAATACAATGTCATCAACACTAGTCTGATTTTTTCCTCAATAATCATATGGGAGATACATTGATGATGTATCTATGACTGTTAGAAGTCTATGAGCTATCATGATCACCATTGATGATTTCATGCATTCCATAATGGTACATTGTATCTAATATTTTCATATTAGTATTGGAGGAGAAGTGTCCGTGCCTTTCACAAAACGCACCACATCTTTGAAGTTCTATGTCCTGTCGCCAATATTGGAGACTTGGATCCTTGCTGTGAGCTTTGAAGACAGCTCTTTTTAGCTTTTCTCACCTCCAAAAGGTAATTTGGTGGCGGTAGACAGCTCTAGCAATACAAATGTAGAATAAATGACAATGTATAAACAACATTGTGGTTGTCGGCAATTTTTTTTGTAAGAAAATGCGCCCGGCGCGCCAAGTGGCGCCTCGGCGCGAAAAATCACAAAAAAATGTGCCTCGGCGCGCCTACAAAATTATCAGCGCACCCACAACCTGAGTTGATCACTTACCACAAAGGTGTCTAGTATACGCTTGAGAGCGTAGTTTGAAACAAAGCTCACTACTGTGGACCAAATCTCAGTGAGGAGTTTGATCATCAAATCAATCGTATTCCAACGCACAAGTTGCCAAAGGATCCAACCTTTGGGCTCCTTGACAATCCTGTAGGGGATCAACCGCAAACATCAGAGACATAGAAGTTCATTGCATGATGTTACACAGAAATCACAAACATGAGTGATATCAAGAATTTTTGAAAGATGTTATGGTGTTGAAATAATGGTGAAAGTTGCCAAACATTGGCCTCAGTCAAAGTCTGTTTGCCAGCCAATTGAATGAGAGGCTTGACAAATCCAGAGGTCATCCAACCCCAAAGTTGGGTTGTGTATGGCCATGTCTTGCTCATTTTCAGATGCTGTTGGAATAATGTGAATTGAACTCAGTCACAAGGATTGACAAATAGGACATGGGGAATCTAACTGAACTGATCCTGGTTTTGCTACATTTTTGGCTGGCAAGATGGGAGAGAGTGGGTACGTTGTGGTGATCTATTTATGATATCAAGCAAGAAAATAAATCATCATTACTTTACCAAGTTATTAGGAAACTTCAGTATAGCAGGAAATTTGAAATTCAGGTTTTCAGATCAATTGAAGCTCTTAGAGGCTTATGTATACTTATTAGCTCAATATTATGTCATCTCATTTCAAAAAATATTCTTAAGATCAATATAGTTTACTTACAAAGTCATTACAAAAAGACATAAAAAGAAAAGATAAGAAAAATTTGGAAATATAGGTGTAAAAGTTGGAAAATGGTTTTTAGGTTATTTATAATTAAGTTATGGGTTTTATAAGGTTAGAATATGAAAGAAGAACACTTTATTATACAGTAACAATTTTTATCTTCAAGGTTGATAAGGGAAACAGAAGTTATTAGCAGAAAGGTACTTTTTCGAAGTTGGTAAACAAGGGTTATGCGTGTAGTTTACATATGTAATGGTGGTAGTAGTGGAAATTAAGGTTGCCAAGAGGATTTTCCGGGATTTTTTAGGTTATAGAAGATGATGTCATATTACATGACCAAGAAAAAGAGAGTAGCAGCTGTGAAAAGTGGAGAAAATGGGTGAATTTTGTGGAAAATGAAGGTTTTCAGCTAATTACATATGTCAAATGACATCAAATTAAGTTGGTAGATAGCTCATTCAACGCAGAAGAGTGGATTACATAATTTACAAACTTTAAATTATTAGTAACAGAGGTGTATGTAAAACGTTATAAGGGAAATAAGACATTGGTGTGAATCTCGAATTTACAGTCACAAGTCAGCATGTAACACCAAAAACCTTAACTTCACAACTCAATATCTTACTCATCACTCATCAGAAATAGGTCATATGGGTGTCATAAATGATCAGTATCACGAGGGCTACAAGATGCACTATAGTAGATGTAAATTGGACCACTTCTGAAAACTTTTGTAATCTCAAAAATTGGTTTGCAGCTAGTTTACAAGGAAAAAATCACCTGTATTCATCTTAAGAAGTGCTGTACATTAAATCATTGCGACATTGATCACTTTTGGCTGTGAAAATTACATCATACATTAGTAACAAGATCATTATATTGCGTCATTACATGGTTTTTAGGGTTTTTAGGCGGATTTGACTGGTTTTTGAGGCTGTTGACTATTGTAGAGGTTGTTACATGTGGATATAAGTACTATGATTTCGGGATTGTTGTTCCCTTTTCTGCATCTTATACCTTTGTTGTAGTGTTATAAATCATCATTTATTTACTATATTTGTACTAAGATCACTTAAATCCGCCCCTTCAAAGCAAGGAGAAATTTATTTACGTGTGTTAAAGACTATAAGTCAAATTGGGAATAATACTTACCAACAGTATTGCTAGTAATAACATAGTGTGTGTACTTTTGCGCTTAAAATTTGGGAATAATACTTCACAACATTATTGCTTTATTTCTCTGGTGCCTTTATCTTTTTCTCTGTTATCACAAAGTGGTGAGCAAGTGCCCTTGTCCTGGTTTCTTTGAAGAAGGCAGTTTTTAGGCAACTTCTACTATATTACACGTAGTAGATTATCCCTTCTTAGGTGTTGTAAAGCTCTTGTTGAGCTTTAAATACTACAACATTCCCTGCTAAAAAATGCTGCAACAGCCAGGGCAGCGGTAACAAGCAATGGCCAGACCACAGGCGCAGATCAGAGCCATGCAACCACAAGATTCAATAAATCTGTGATAAACCAGCTGAGACATATCAGCACCAAGCCACCAGGAGGCTGTGTAATATTGTTCTGCACAATATAGATTGATCAGTACTTCTATGTGACATGGTTATCCAATAGCAGGCCATTGCGTATCCAGCCAACCATCAGGTCAGAGTGCAACTATTTGCCAAACAATGAGACACAAAACAAAACCATTGATGACATAAGACCCACCCAACTCGTCAACACAACTGCAGCCAATGGGACTGAATCTCCTCAAGTCTGTCTTTAACCAGGTCAAACACAAGGACACCAAGTGAAAGTGGAATAGCAATAGTGCTCATGACCAACAGTAGAAACTTTTTCCATTGAGGTGATGTGACCTGCACAAAGCGCACAGTGAAAAGATCTGAAAGGGTCACAAAGTCTTTGATAAAACAACTTGTGAGTGTGTGCCATGGAAAAGAGCCAAGAAGCAGGATGATGGCTCGAAGCCACAATGTCATCACGTTTAACCATTGCTACTGGGCAATTGGCTTAATCTGAGCCAAAAGAGAACCCAATGTCACTGCAAAAATAATGTATTTTTCAAGGTGAAGAATGATTGAGTTTGAAGCACAAGATGATTAATAATGCAGAATTAATGCAGAAAAATGCAGACTTAATGCATTTTTAATCATTTTGTAAAATAAATGTAATCATTTTTCACCTTGGAAAAATACATTATGTTTTCAGTGTGTGAAGGCGGGATAATGTATCCAAACACCAATCAATGGTATTGTATCAGCCATTCATTCAAAGAGTCTGGCTTCTACCTGAAGTTGATAATTAGAGGTTGATTAAGAACTTGAGTGGCAAGAGACAAAAAGTATCAGACATTTGAAAGCTATTGGGTAAACATCAGACAACCATGCATATGTTGACACAATGTTAAGTAAAGTCATACAGGCTTGGGTTGATTCAAGAGCCGACACTTGCCGATGTGTGGTACACCGGTCATAAAGCAGGTCCATTTTGCCCGGTTGTGACACAATCATACAATCCTTGAACTGCATACATCAGACGCTGACGGGCTCTGGGCAGAAAGCAGCAGAGTTTCTCTTGTCCAACCAAGCAGTAGATTGGGTTTTGCTAACAGTTCAAATTGAGAGATATACAATTCAATTTACCTCTGATATTTACAATCCTTTCATTTTAGCTGCTGGCTCCTCCCATCACTTCAAAATTGTGAAATTCTTCCAACTGTGGCTCAACTTGGTGAGTGAGAGTCCCCTTATCTTTGAATCCTAGGTATTGCAACCCATTTTCGATTTTAGATGATGAGCTTCTCCAGCAATTGATTTTGCCAAATCACTATCAGATGTACAAGATTAGAAAAATGGTAATGGACACAATCATAAAAGTTTTGTGTCTTCTTGATTGATGAGCCAGAAGTGATGATGAGGTGAATTGAAACTGGATCCATTTGAGCTTCCTGCACTTCCTTCCTGTTGGTGCTTGTATGATGCACTTGAAATTTAACAGAATGTGGCTCTACTCTCATGGATAGATCAGTGGATTCATACTAGTGTGAATGGAGAAAGTGGACAACCACTGATTAGACTAATGATCAATATGAATACACACCAAATTCCTTCACTTCTTTTGAGCTATCCCTTGATGGGATTCTGAGGAGGGATTTGAAAAGGGACTGCACTCAAATATGATTGTTATCAGATACAAGTATACTTTCATTGAAATTATCATAATTCAATAAATCATTTAAATGAAGCTCAGATATGGGTGTATGTAGTGAAATGAACCAGATAATTAAACAAAATATTGCAGTAAATAGATGATGAGATCCAAGTGTCCTTTTATTAAAATCATAATAGTTCAATAGATAGTGGATTCTTCATGAGAATGAGATAAAAGCTTGGTCATGTGTGAGTGCAAATGAATCAGACAGTTAGAGAAAATATTTCAGAATTAAACCAATGACACGTGTATCTATCTTTAAGAGAGTCCGGTAATATTTGACCAATAGCCAATGGACACCTACCAATTCTTTTTCAAAAATGTTTTTCAAAATATCAAAGAAATCACTGGGTCCATCACGCCTTGACATCATGTTGATTATCTTGTTTTGGGACAGGTCCAAAGTTTATCATAGATTCATTGGAACCTACAATCCAATGAGACAAATCTTTAGCCCAACTGGGTAATCCACGTATGATCCACATCCAACTGGTATAAACTGGGACATAGATATCAGAGCTTAGATGTGAGTCTAAAGCTTGAATGATCAATTTGGCTAAATCATGAGGAGCAACCGGAGGTAAGAAGAACCTATTCTGCGGTTTGACTACGTATGATGATAGTCCAGGAGAGTAACACCTTATTTAAAATCATCACGAGTCAGTCAAACATTCAGAAGAAATGTAACTCACGCTTTTCGAACATCTTCGTCTCCAACCTTCCCGGACAGACTAATGTTGTTCTGACTCGAGGGCAATGATGTCTGGATACGCATAAAACTTTAGTAAGCGATTGAACGAAATCTCTTGTGGACCGAATGACATGGGCACTGACCTTGAATCGAGTTCCTGTCGTAAAGACTCATGTAAACTGATTGAAGCTGCTTTAGAAGCACAGTAATCTGAGGCTTGACTGATTCCTAATGTTCCCAAAACAGAAGCGATTGTAACCTGACCCAAATATGCTCGACATTAGATCAATTTCACAGATTTGATTAGAATGTAGAGAGATAGAGACTCAACGATATGACCGGTGCCATTTTTTATCATCTGAGGTAAAAAAGCTTTCAAGATCAGAAAATGAGATATCACGTTTACTCCAAATGACCTGTGGAGAAGATTGAATTAAAAATTGTCACAGATCATCAGATCAGGTTAGCATTCTTTCTTTGTGTATCGTTCTTCGTTTACTTCCATCTCATATTCATTATATTTTTCTCGACCATGAAAAATCAACGTACCTTTTAAGGTCATCAGGTTGGAGATCAACGATCAATTTTCCATTCACAATACCTGCGTTATTGATGACGATGGTTGGGTCGCCTATTTCTTTTTTGATCCGGTCTGTTACTTCTTCTACATTTTTTGGATTTGATACATCGCAAATGAAGTGATGGATATCATCTGCATTCAATGATCCCGAGATTTGATCCAGTTAAAGGTTTGAAAGTAATGATTCGTGACGAATAAGTATCAAACAAGGAATATACTGACGGTATGTCTCTCATGAAAGAATCTCACATTCAAGTCCCTCGCCACTATTCACGAACGGCTTCACATCCAACACTACCACTGTTATATGTTTCATAGCAAGTGTTTCTGCTATGACTCTACCTAGCCCGTCTGCCCCACCAGTGATAAGGACGATTTGTTCAGTCCAATCAATGCGCTCCGGCCAAAAAGCCCATGTACGATTTCGCCAAGCTCTTGAAGACATAATTAAAATCCATCGAATGATAACGAACACGAGAAATCTCATAGACGATTGATAAAGTTCAGGTGAGGATTGAGCAAGAGCAAGAACAGGGAGCCACATGGTGAAGAATGGAGACAGAAAAGTCCGCTGGGCAATTTGGAAAAGGAGATCGAAAGCTGGATTGAGATTAAATGGATGCGATCAGTCAAAGCTGGAAAAACAGATACCAATAACAAAGTAAAGCAACTGAACTTATGGATTGAAATATGGATTCGCCTGACATCGCTTGTGATGTAGGTCAAGTGGTGATATGCGGTATCTCTAAAAATCTCCCAATCTTGAATCTAGTGGAGGTCAGAGAATCAAGCTGATGCTTGATAATTCCGTACGTGAACACGGAGGGGAAATATTTTTGAGGCTCAATTAGCTGTAGTATACTAAGCTTCTATTCGTGCGGAGTGGTGTTCAAAGTTGAGTTGCTGTGAGCTTGAGAGGTCTTGGCTCTTCAGTTCAAAAGTTTAACGGTGATAATTGGCAAAGGTGGGGTGCACTGTGTATAATGATCGAAATTTGAACGTGACTCTTGGTGCCCTTCGCCTCAAACACCAATGAAGGAATTCCCACTTCGAGTCTCAATTGAATATCAAATCATCATGGTTCTTTATTCCTATCTCGGTAGTTGAGCATCAGCAAATGATTCTTTTAATGTCGCTCTTTGGAACCGCCATTTTGCCACTCAAGTCAACCATTCGCGATTCTTATCGTTGTGTGTGTATCCATGTGGATGAGGATGTATATAAATGATAATATATTCTCGAGATATTTGTCGTTTCAGTGGCAACGGAACAATGGTGAACTGCTCGAATGACAGCTGAATTTCCTCAGCGTCTCCACGTCCTTCACACGCTTTTGTCTTCTCCACCGCTCGCGAGCCAACAAATCGCAATGTTATGACTACTCACACTGCGTTGTATTCACAAATTGCAACCCGAGAAATCCTTCGTATGAATCCTGTTTCGTCCCAACATCCTTTTGAATCAAAAGCGGGGATATAAATGTTGTTCGTATGTACTCGCAGAGTTGCACGTAGACCAGCCTAGACCTCACTCCTCAACGCGCCGCCTATGTACAAAATAGCCGACGAACCTCTGGAGTCTGGATGCTCGATCGAGTATTGGTCAAGCACAAGCAGAATATCACAGTCCCGTTGACACCAAAAGATTCGGGATAGACTTGGATAGACTGAAGTGAACTTGGAGATGCAAAAGGAAACACGTTGCACACATCTTTTGCCACCTCTTTGTCCTTTCCTTAGGGTAAGATCGAAAAATCAGATGCATGTTGCCGAAGGACTTTCGGAACATGTTGATCATGACATCATTCAGCTTATTTGCACATACGCATACATAGGCAGATTATCTCCAGACTCCCACACTTTGGCCTTGGGTGCGAGCCTCGAGGCGCGCGTGTATTGTAGAGCGAGAAGAAAGGCGCGCCTTTTTCGAGCATGGTGTCTCCTTGGGGGACTTTGATAAGTTTACTCCTTGCCTTTGTCTTTCATCCCTTCGTACATTTCATTGCTCATCGCTCATCGGCATCATTGATCAAGAAATCCTTTAAAGGTCGGATGTTGTCTCAGAGACCATGCCCATTCCCTGACCGATCTCGACAAAGTTCATTCGACTGCGACTCCAGTCTTGTGATTTTCTTCGGCTTCCTTCATGATGCAGCTATATGCATGTAGCTGTAAAAGACAGATGAAGATCCCACCTCGCTCACAATGACATCTTCGCTTTACAAACCTCTGATGAACATCGGTCTACCGGAATACACATGATGTGTTTGATAGCTTAGCTATCACAGGGCCTGATTATAAAGGCATCATTAAGTCGCCTGGCCATCAAGGCACCATTAAGTCGCCTTGTCACTGACACTCGCCAAGCACCGATTGGATACTCCTTGAGGTTCGGTCGATCGCAACCATAACTTTTTACCAGACCCTGATGACCGACATACACACCTCGCATCCCGGTCACGTCTGAATAGCTCTTTGCAGAGGTTCATTCGACGCGTATAAATGCGTCGCAACTTTGGTTGTTTTCTTCTCCATCTCGAATCTTTTCTCAACCTAGACGATACATTGTTCCTTCGACATTGAGGATGTCGACCCCCACGCAATCAGCTTCGTCGACCGGTACATCATTTATTAAATATGTTTATTTTTTCATTATCCTATGTATATCTTGTACCAAAGCCTCACAGCCCAACAAAATGTCATACGTGACCCACGAACGACGTTCGGAAAATCCGCTTTGGATTCGAAGCAATCAAAAATTCCTCCGCCCCGATAGTCACTTTAAAATCCGATTTGGTTTGAAGCAGAGAAATCTTGAAAAACTTTCATCAGAACTTCACCGGGTCGCGTCACCTGATTCGACTGAATACGCCGAGCATTGGACCAATGAGCAAATCATGACCTTTTTCCAACCTGCTCCAGAGAGCCAAATCAAAGTGCAAGAGTGGTTGAAGGATGTACTAGAGGAAGGCGCGGATATTCAATTAAGTGCAGGTGGTGCTTGGATTGACGTGGACCTGACGGTCTCACAAGCCAATCAACTTCTCAAAACCGAATATGGAATTTACGACCATCCAGACGGAAATGTTCATATAGGTAATTTGAATAGCGCCCACTTATATGCCTGAAGAGATTTCCAGCTCTTGACACCCTTTTCTCCTTTTAAGCCTGTGAAGAGTACAGTGTTCCTGAATATATATCAGATCACCTCGACTTGGTGATTCCTTCAGTCCACTTTGACATGCGTAGCAACAAGGGTAAAATCGAACAAGCAAGCAATCAAAAGAGAAATAATAAACGCAGAAGCACAATCTTCAAGCGAGAGATACATTCCATAGATGTGGCACAAGGAAGTCCTCTGATTCGAAAACCAGTTCCAAAACCGCAAATAATCAACTCAGAGTCCTCCGACCCCTTTTCCACCTGTGATCAAACTACAACGTTGGACTGTCTGAAGTAGGCCTTTGACATTCACCCAAAACATAACGTAGCCGATGAGAGTTGCGATATTGATCATTATAAACACTTTCTCCTATCCAGCGCTCTGTATCATTACGAGGATTATGTCTCGAAATCAGTCGAGAAGAACAGCATGGCAGTCGGTAAGTTTTCCTGGGCTGATCTTAAAACATGAGCAATTGATACTAACTACGAATAATTTAGTCGAATACAGCCCTAGAGCTGTGATATTTGACGATCTGGATATCTTTTTCAAGGGGAGTTTCCAAATAGTGATCATACCCACTCTGTGTACTAATTTAGCTATTTGAACTTGTAGAGGTACTCCCCCAGTATGATCGGGCAAAGACCTGAATTAGTGTCCATTCAAGGAGGTGAATCTCGAGGTTTTCAAAATCATTTTTCCTTTTTGCATCGCTCTGATATGATCTTTGATTTCAAAAACAATAGGTAAACTTGATCAAACAGCGCAGAGTTACGAAAATAACTTGGAGAGTAACTTGGATCTCTCTTACGCAATGTCCATGGTCCGACCACTCAAGGCGAGTTTCAGTTTCAACATTCATCAAGGGTTTAGTTGCTGATTTATGAGTTTATCCAGGTCCAACTTTACCAAGTTGGAGATGGTATCGCAGGTTCCGGATTTAACAACTTGTAAACCTCAATCACCCACTTCTCTACATCTTTCGCTCAATTCAAAATCCGCTGATTCGCTAACAGGTGGCTTATCTTGACTTGAAATTATCCTCCAAAGCTTGGATGCATTGGATGCCACATATTGCCACGAAAAGCTCGACCCATCACAGGATGGCGTGTATCCTGGTGCGTCACATTCGACATGTTGTTCCGATCGCTTGAATGTCAAATAATTTACGCAATTTATTTTCCAGATCCCAAAGGATATAACAAACGTGACTGTGGTACCGTCAAAGCTACCCATGTTATATCTTCTTCTTACAGTGCGTGAGATTTTCAAATAGATTCAGTCATCCTATCAATTCTTGACATTATTTTGATTTTGACGTAGGTATGAGTGAAGCAGAGGCAACGCCAAATTATCTCAGAAGACAATGTGAGGAGTACGGTAAACTTGCGCTTATGGGTGTCACTTTTCTGCATTCATCCGGGTACGTCAGACCTATTCATGTATTTGTTCACGGGATCTATTCCCTGTCTGTCTGGTCAGGGGTCGTATTTCCTTTGAATCTGATATAAACGATCACATGCCCATTCATCAAGGGACTACGGAGTAGCAGGATTTCGGGGCAATTGCCTGACTGAAGACAATCGTGCATCTCCCCAAGGAAAGGTCAGTGGCTGAACAGGTCCCCTCCGCGGTAAAAAACTTACACTAACCAATGATGACCCCTTCATATCTTATAGAGGTTCAATCCGACATTTCCGGGTACATGCCCGTTTGTAACAATTATAGGGGCTACTCAAATCAAACCCGGTAACAGTGTTCGGGATCCAGAAGAGTCTCTCTCAACTTATTTTGTATCCGGTGGTGGATTTAGTAATCTATTCGAAATTCCAGAATATCAAAAAAAGACCCTCAAAACTTACTGGGATCTACATAGACCTGAATATTCCTCTAGTCAGTTCAACAATTCCATGAAGACACGCGGTTACCCTGATCTCAGCGCAAATGGGGCCAATTAGTAAGTCGGACTGTTTGATAGAGGTATTTGATCAGGGTTGGCGACTCAGAAATGAATTCAAACCTTGAAATACTAGAGTGAAATTGAATAACGTTTTTTGTTTGACACAATCAGTGCAGTTTCTATTGATGGACAACTTGAATTGGTATATGGCACATCGGCAGCAGTTCCTGTTGTTGCCTCGATGATCACACTCATCAACGATGCTCGGATCAGCATGGGCAAAAGTCCGGTAGGATTCTTGAACCCAGCATTGTACTCGGACGGATTTCGCGATGCTTTCAATGATATCACGTGAGTAGTATCATTCAATTATCATCAATTTAACACTCGCTGAATTATCATGTGGAGTATAGAAGTGGCAGCAATCCTGGGTGCACAACTCGCGGGTTTAGTGCAGTCAAGGTTCGTTCAAATCTCTATCACTATGCTTACATGAAGATTGAACATTTTATTCCCGCTTCTTCGTTATGATCATAGGGCTGGGATCCTCTTACCGGTATGTTGACATTTACGAAAACGATCCAGAAGCTTTCAAATTCAGAACAAAAGCTGACATATTCCTGAATGAACTTCATCCTATTGCTTCAGGCCTAGGAACCATCAATTTTCCCAAACTTCTCAATCTCTTTTCCAACCTTCAGTAAAGCATTTTCATTGGATTACAAGAAAATAAGTGTAGGAATACCAGGAACACTTTCCATCTCGCATCCTCTCACGCTCTGTGTACACGCTTATCGTTAAGTAGAGTATCCATATTACTTTGTATATCAGCAAGAAATGCACGGTATGGGGTAGTCATCCTTGAAATATCAGGTCTCATGCAAGCGTTTTATGATAACAACGAACTATCAGAATTGGGTGAAACTTCCCCTGAGAATCAAGGTTATTGTTGATTGCGATCATGAATATCGATTCCCCCTCTTAGTAGCAAAGAACACAAAGCAAATGATGATAGTAAAATACAAGAAAATACACTTTTTATGAATCCGGGGTAAATTGAAATAGAAGACAGATAAAACACAACCTAAATCCCAAACGAGAATGTGAAAAGTGAAGACAAACAGCCAGGTTCAGAAAGACTACATTCCTGATCACTTTTCATGAAGTATCAAAAAGTGGTCACAAAGATAGAAGAAAAGTAACAACGAGGATCAATTATGACACATCACAAAAGCAAATCTTATTGTGCAAAAATCTCCATGGCAGATCACCTTTCATTTCAAGTTTCCTTCTATCGAAAGCAATCACTTCAGGTTCTAAAGGTGGCCTAGAAGAATATGCTTGAAGGAGTTCCTTATTGACCGCATAAGGGAGACGGTTCCGCTGGATAGCACGCAATAGTTTGTTTTCTGAGTCATAAAGATAAATGAAGTACTTATCATAATTCCAATCTGCTAAATTAAGTCTATAGGATGGATCTACATCTGGATGGGATTCATCAAATTCCTCATCACTATCGGTATCAAAGACTCCTCTTTGCTCGTATGATTCATTATCCTCGGAGTCGGTTGTAGAAGACCTGTGGCGGGTATAAGTAGGATATGGCTTCCAAGTCTCGTTATTTGACATATCCAATCTTTTGCTCTCCTTCTCATTGATTTCTTGTCGAGCGGGTGTTGGTGTAACTGGTACTGGATCTGGGTATCGGATTCCGGGGGCAGTATTCCACATGGGTCTAGTGGACCAGGGAGTCGGGAGGATGCCACCGAAAGGGGCAATACTGGTGTGACGTGCTACCATACTAGTTAGGTGGTCTTGATTTGTTCGAGGGTTTATAGTGTTAGCGATCCAGCGATCAAATTCATCCTGGTCAGGTAGATGAGCGAATCCATCTTTAGAGATTGGTCTATACGATGGGCCGTGGATATTCTTCTTAATGTTAACTTCTGATTGCATAGCGCGAATTATCTCTTCTGAAGTAAAAGGTGATTTATCCGTAGACCAACGTAGATCTAGTTTTCGATTGGCTCCCTCCAGATTCCATCCACCTAAGATCGGAACTGTCCATTGATATAAAATTCCAGCCATAGAATCTTTGCTCCATGTAAACCCTTGAGAATCAAGTCTATCCATCAGAGAGTTGATTCTATTGATATGTGCCGTTAGATCATTTACGCTGCGATCAAATGTTTGATTAAATAAACGTGCCCAAGTATTCACTTGAGCTGTTCTTCCATTCGCTTCTTCATTTTCAAACAAGTTACGTATAGTCTTAAAGATTTCAAAAGCTGAAGGATAATCTTCAATTCTATCAATGTAATCCTTGATTGATTCAGGTATAGTTTCATAAATCAATCTAACTACTAATTTATCCTCTTCTCTACCTATAGGATCAAATGTATTGTGTGAAGATGAAAAGAAATGTCGAAGATTCAACATGTTATAAATCGCAAGATCAAGACTTTTGCTCCATCGATATAAATTTGTTCCATCAGAAGCGAGCTGTTCAATTGAAGGAATATAATGATAAATCAAATGATGCATCTTCTCTAATTGTTCTAATCTTGGATTATTCTCAGCATCAGAACCAAGCGCAAAAGGATCCGACATCTCCTCTGAGCGTGGTATATCAGTTGGCTTGGTGAAACCAAATGGTCTGCGGGAGTAACCATGATGAGGAAATATATCAGAGCGATGATTGTTCACAAAAGATGATGACTGAATGCCAGGGTTGTTATTTGACGTCGATCTCATCGTTACACTAGGATGAATCTGAGCATGATCAGCTATCGAAGCTTGAGCTGGAAGAGACCAGCGATTTTGGTGGCGAGTTGACATTTCAGCTTTGCTAATGGTAACCTTGTAGATAGAAGGAGAGGAGGTTTTAGAACTGAGAACGATAGATTTCTATGAACCAATTAAATATGGGGCGAAAGAATTTTCCGGACATTATTTTGCGAACAATAATGTACGGAAAAAGTGATGTTCGTAAAAATGCACTTTCCCCCGGAAAAAGTACAATTTCACGGACTTTCCATTTTTTTAGATGTCCGCAAAAAAAAGTTACTTCAAATATTGTACGTAAAATTGAATATTGGGTGCCCAAGATGTTGACTTTTCCAAACATGATCTCGCGAAGTATATACTTCGTGAGAATTTACGCATGTAAAAATGCATAATCCCTTGCATTTTTACAATTTTACGCGCGTCTGCTCACGTGCGTTATGTTACGTGAAAAAACACGTTCGCAAAAGTCGATACCAGGGAGGGATATGTACACTTTCACAGACATTTTTCGTCAAAATCACGAACAATTTTTTTACCAATTTGTCACGAGTTCGGTTTGAACCTGAGCTTGTTTGAGGTTCCAAGAAAATGGGCAATTCAAAGCTCCGGACACAAGAAGAAGATTAAATAAAAAACAAGTGAGAAAACAAATGAGAAAGAGAACGTAACCAAAAGGGGGACATCAATCCTTTGGAAGCAAGAAAAAATTTGTAAAAAACACATGAAAATCAAGAAAGAGGTGGACTACTTCGTCTCCTTCTTACGCTTTGACTTGCGCACCTTGCCACTCTCCTTTGACTCTTGACTGCTGCGCTTGACAGGCTCGTCAAAACCTTTTACCTCCTCCTCTTCCTCTTCAGCAATTGCCCAACCTTTCCATCCTTTCCGTTTCTTGGTCTTTCCTGAGAACAAAACAGTGGTTATCAAAAAAAGAATACGAATGAGTCAAAAGTAAAAAATCATGAAGGTGAAAACAAAGGAGCGGACCCGTATGGATTGGTTCTTTGTTTCCATCGGGAAGAAACAAATCTTCCTGGTTTTCCCCTACAAGGTGATCCTGATTTTTCCTCTTCGTCACTTTCTTGACAGTGCTGCCTACACAAAATAAAGCAAAATCAATTAAATACAATCAAAAAACATACTAGTAAAAGAGACAAAGTTAAGGAATCAAGAAGCAGAAGATAATGTCACACCCGAATGGTCATGTTCTTCGACTAAGTTTGGATCTTTCACGTTTCCAACCGCCTTCAAATTCAAACGTTGATCATGATCAGCGCCTTGGTCTGAATCATCTAGTGCACACTCTGAAGGAGTGAGGTCTTGCTTCTTCCTGCCTCTCCTCTTCGGAACTGCTTTAGGCTTAGGCTTATTCACTTTAGGCTTGACGATTGCAACTGCTGAAGGCAACGTTACGAATCAAATGAAAAAAAAGTACATGAGCTTTATCGAATATCATAGAAGACACAACAGTGAAAAAAAATTCACACCTTGGGGACGTTCTTCATCTACGTGTTTGTCTGAAAGAAATAGATCTTCCAACTCCACTATTCTCATAAGGTCTTTGCTGCCACCTTCCTGCTTTGACACATCCTTTGGGATGTCTGGGTTGTGTTGAAGTGTAGACTCTAATCCTTGCTGTGAAAAAGGCAAGTCGCCTTGTTGGTTGTCGCCGAATTCTTTTTCGATCTTGACGTTTGCTTTTTCAATAATCAATGCCTCCGCTGTTGTAGGCGCTCGAGAATACATCACCCAGTTCGTATTATTCATAGCCCCACCAATAGACACCAATTCCCTACTTTCCAAAGTAGCAATGCCTTCGTTTATGAGGTCATTGTGATACCATACACCGGTTAGACCACCAACTGTGCGTACCACCTTGCACCAGTAGTGACCCGCGGCGTAGAATCCACGAGCTCGCATCCAGTAGGTAACACCAAGAAGGTTCAATTCGTAAGGTAGATCACATTCATCGGTCATTCTTTTGGCTTCCTCAGGCTGAGTGGTTGTTAAGACCAGCGGGTCAATCGAGATGTACAAGTGAGGTGGTGGTGGATCGAATAAAAGCCGTGTCCTCTCGTATAAGGGGGGCGCTTGTCGTGGTAAAGATGAAATGTGGTCGTTCGGATCCTTGTTGAGTGGGCAGGCCAAACAGTGACGAGCAGAGACACGCCGAAGACCTTCTTCTGATGTCCAACGGTCAAGAAGGGCCGGCGTTTCTGAGTATTCAAATGTCTGAGTTGAACGACACCCAACACCAAAGTGTTCAGGCATCAGAGTGATACAATCCATCGGGACACTCTCATTCGTGATATGAGAATGATTATGGGAGCAGACAAGCTTGCGTTGGCGAGTCATTCGAAAAAGCTTTTGGGTGATTGGAGGCGCTCGTGGTTGTTTCTGGAGACCTTGACAATCAAATAAGCCTTCAAAATATTGCGTAGCTGACGCAAATTCATCGTATTTGAATCCACCAGGGTAGATAGTCTGGATTGCCGCATGAATCTTGTTTTGACCCAAAGAGAGGATTTGTCGGATGCTGCCGTTCTGATGTATTTCCCAGGTAGCTCGTGATGAGAAAAGATTCATTAATTTGTTGAAAATGTGAATTGAAACCCCCCTGGACCCGGTGAACCAATACGGTGTGTATAACGCGTACAGACACTCGGACATGGAGTTCATCCAGCACCTGTTCCGGCGCGTGGGAATCAACGAGCTTTGGAAACCTTGAAAAGTCGTAACAGGGTTACGGTCGATGTTGACAGACCCTTTGGGTCTGCCAAGTTTCTTCTTACTCTTGCTGCCAAGCAGAGCCTCTGTGGTGTCAGGTGGTCGTCCATCGTTCTTGGGTTCACGGCAATTGCGGGCTTTCTTTGCCCATCCAAGAATTTGGGCAACCTTTTCGTAGTTCTTAGTAGAACCATATTCGATGGTGACCCCACGTCGCAGGTCATGGTAGTCTCTCTCGAGGCTCATGACCAAAGCGTACAGCTGCACGAGCCCCACCTGGATGGAACAATTGGCATCCCTAAAATATATCATCCAAATGAAATGGCCAGGTTAAGTTAAAGTTAAACAAAGTAATAACAAAGGAACGGGTCATTTTCCCATACGAGATCATGTAATACACCCGGTGCAAGGATTCCTGAGCGTTGGTCGTCGCAGGCATATCGTCGTCCAGGCTGTCATCGTCAATCTGTTTAACTCTGGATTTAAACAACATGGCTTGCACGTCAGATGCATGCCACCAATCAATCCACCGCCTTGCTTTGGGAAATTCACGGCGTAATTGATCAATCTTCGCGTCAAAGGATGGATCTCCAGGTGTGTTTGGGTCACAGAGACTCATGGCCAGCTTTTCGAAGTCTTTCTGTTTACGTTTACGAAATGATTTGTCAGATTTGAACAATTGTATGGGAAATAAAAGATAAGCGCAAAGTACCTCATAACCCCTGTCAATAATCACATTATTTCTCTTCACGCGCGTGATCTGAGCACAAAAGTGTTCTTTGCAACCAGTTAACTTCGAAAGAGCCACGTTACGGTCCGGCTCATTGAAAACGTGCATATAAGCACCGATGAAACCATTCTTTTGCGCCATTGAAAAGTCAACAACTTGTCGAACCAAAGTGTCATGTTCCGCATCTGAAAATTATTGAGCATCTTTGATTTGTTGCATGAGTGTGGTGAAGTGCGCCATATAATGATCATCCGTGAGACCATTTAACCAAGTGATTTGAATTGGAATCCAACGGCGAAGCACCTCGTTGTACATTGAAGTTGAAAGCAAGTACCCATTTGCAAAAAATTTGTATGTAACATCTGACAGTAGCCCGCCTTTGTACACACCACCATCGACTCGAGCTAGCAGCTGTTCTGCCATCCATTCAGTTTGAAAAGTCATGTGGGTACTTTTGGGCATGAAAGATGTTGAAATCACACGCAGGCCTCGCCTGAAAGGCAGCAGAAACACCCGTCAGTGATCAATAATAATCAATCACAAAAGAAATGGTTGCTTACTCGACCCAGTGGATAAGATCCAAGACAAAACTATCACCTCCACCTGGCACATTCCTCGCAGGTATGATGCCATTATCCACAAGGATATGCCGGCGGTAGTATCCTAGGCAATGAAGATTGCTCAGTGCTGGATGGATGTTGGTCGCGGTCGTGATTGCAGCCTTTCCAGCAGGAGCTTGGCCGACCTGGCATTTGAAAAGAGGTCGAAAAGATACAATTAGGCTTTGTTCCACTTATGTTCGAATGGAATGTTTCGAACTTACCTTGTGTTGTAAAGGACCCACGTTGGGGTTTTCAACAACCTTTTTTGCAAAGGTTGCTAAGGCCAGCTTGTCCGGCTTGCCACGTCTCGGCCAAGGATGCTCGTGGATTCCCGAGTGCCTTACAATCCCCCATGATGAGGGAAGGTGCTCATCAACCCAGCAGATTGTACCAACACAAGGTACTAGCCTGAGATAATCGGCACACTGAGCCGCAGGGCACTTATGAGATCTGTTCACTGTAAACATCATTCAACTTCCCCAATTTGGCAGAGGAAAATGATTAATAGTACAGTTTTTCATAAAAGAATCTAATACTGCACACCTGGGCCATTTCACCCACACTACATATGTGCAGCAAGCTAAGTCAATAGTTGTCTATCATGTACATACAGGTCTGCTCAGTTTTTTGCCCATCAGAATAAATAAATCACATGTTATACCACATGTAACTTTTTCAACTTTGAAATTTTTTTCCCAAAAATTCACTACATATAATTCTGTAGCTGCTCAGGCAATATTGTTGAAGCTATGTCTTAGTAACAGAAAGTGTGTTACATGCAGTTGAGTTGATGAGATCACACCAAAACATTGAGTCAGTGTATGTAGTCAATCTTTTGGAAGCTTTTTTCAATCTGAAAGAAGTTACAGCATGTATTACATATGAATAACTTGTCCTGATGAGCAGATAACTGAGCAGAACTGTATGTACATGATAACCACATATTCACTGAGCCTGCTACACATATGTAGTGTGGGTGTTATGGCTCAGGTGTGGAGTGATAGACCATTTTATGACAAATCATACTCCCAATCATTTTTCCCTGCCCACTTGGGGAACCCGAATAATGTCTGCAGTGGTTGCAATCAAAGTGAACCAGTAGTAAGTTTATTTTTCAATAAGTGTCACAATCACAAGGGTCAAAATACTTACTTTGTTTGCCACTCGACTCTCTTGCTGTTCGAAGTTGGAGGAGCCCCAAGGAAATCACAATCGCGGTTGTTGCACATGGTGACACCTAGGCAAGTAAAGCGAACTGTTCGCCAATCACAGCCTTCTTTCTTACCCCCGCCAGACGTGGTACTAGAGAAACCAAAAGTACACCAGTTGGTGAACTTTTGGCCTGGTTGCTTGACAAAGATTGTTGAGCCGTTTGGAAGTAATGGATAGCCTTCCGAATCCAGAGTGGTGCCGTGATCAATGAAGGTGGTGAATGATGGGCGGTCCAAAGGTAAGCTGAATGTCTTTTTGCCTTTTTTGCCTTCTTTCTTGGCTCGACTGGTGGATGTACTCGCTTTGCTTGTAGTCTGAGAGTATACTACATCTTCGCGCTGTTCTGCCTCGTGTAAGCCAATGTCCTGTTGCCAGGCGATGGAAGCCCATTCACGGACACTGTGAGATTCGAAACCGTCTTCAGATTGGTCGCATTCAAAGTCGTCGTTGAAGCTCTCTTCAAAGCTTTCGTCCTCAGAAGCAGAAGCAGAATCTTTATAGCAGTCGGACCCTTCGGACGCCTCACCGTTACTGCTCATCGTTTCTCGCCGAAGATGGATGATTAAGAAAAGTTAAAATATTATGAAGTAATAGAATCGAGTGAAATAGTTGAAAAAAATCGATTGAAATAGTTGAGTTGAAAGAAAGATTATAAAAATATTAAGAAGTATTGAAAAGTAAGAGATTCAAGGGGAAATGTTGCTTTCGAGAATGATAGTTGCAGTCAAAAAAAGTGATTTCGATTATTAATGCAAAAAGGATTCAATTCGAAAACGATTTCTTTGGATTCCTTTGGATTCCTTTAAGAAATTATAATGATAAAGTAGAAATTATAATGAATGTAGGTTTGATTTGATTATGATTTCGTAGCAAAGCGAAACAACAATAGGACGAGAACAAGAAACGACCTTGGGTTTGTGAGTGGTGGTCCACCTTTAGTGGGTTCCAAAACGTCTCGAAACAACTTTCGAAAACAGCAATCATGCCCAGTCACCACCTTCGGTGGCCGACCCTTGAAATGGAAAGACATTTGAGTCTTTGCTTTGGATCTGAGTGGTCGTGTTGGAGGTTGCCAATCATCCGTTCCCGAAAACGGTAAATGCTTGCGAGCAGTCAGTTGGAAAATTAATTTTTCGACACGGGCAATTTCGAAGTTTGCGATGATCGTTTTGCGACCTTTGAAGAGGTCTGTGAGGTAACAGTTGTAAAATTGGAGAATGGGGTGGTGTCTTAGACTATTGCGCACAATGTTTTTTGCGCACTTTGACATTCGGTGGTAGTTGTCTGGGAATTTATATGCTGTATGCACATGTAATTCAATTTTCAGTGCCTTAATGCCCGACTGTTTTTTTACATACAATCTGAAATTTGGGTTTGTACGTAAATTTTCACTTTAATGGGGGCAAAATGCATTTTCCCGAACACCACTTTTTCCAGACAACATCGTCCGCGAATTATCGGTCGGAAAAATACACGATCCCATTAAATATTTCGAAGCTCTCTAGAACCGGCATGTGGAGAGATGTGGAGACCATGTTATATGGAGGAAAATCCATAGCACAGCTGCGTGTGGATAACAGCTCTTCAAACAGCGCAGTTTACCGAACAGCCTCGTTGAAATAGATAAAAAGCATTTACATACTTGTGTAACTCCCGATTTCTCCCTCTCTCTCTCAACGACTCGTTCGTTTACCGCAAAAGGAATACGTTGAGTTTATGTATCACCGGAGACCACCCGTATTCATCCTTGTCAACCTTGATCTGATTCACAAACACATCTTCGGCGAGGGATCCGATTATCCAAGTGATAGATGTACAAATGTATGCAAGTCCCCTCATCTGTTGCACACATCATCCTACAAATCATCATCTCAGAAATTGGCTTGAGACACTGGGAAACAATTTTGTCACCTCTCCCACATATTCGAATATGGCAAAGTTCTTCCTTGCCCCAGTGAAGCAAATTTTACCAAACCCTTGCTAGACTTTTACGGTACTCAAAGCAAGTATGTACGCGTACATACTTTTTGCTACATAGTTTTTTTTGGCGGGGAAAACGAGTCCAAAAGTATATTCGTTTTATTTTCCCCGCCAAAAAAAAGTATATACGACAACTATATACGTGTAACTATGTAGCTTTGAGTACCGTATTTGAAAGTTTTGGAGTCTCTCCAGTCCTCTCGCGCCTTATTTGACAGTGACCTGTACAAACCCTTTTCAGTGTTTGGATACCATTTGGATTTAATACGCTTTTGTATGGGAAAGCTAGATGATGGGATTCATGCCATGAATATTCTGATTTGTCTTAACCGTCTATGTAATAAACAGGTGGCGCGGCTCAGATGACCCTGCCCAATTATTTAAAAGTCATCGACCAAAAACGTGGACATGGGTGAAATCAGAAATAAAAAATTCACGCTTAAATTTGAAGGAGAGGCCTCTACGGAATTGAAACGTCAGATTAAAGATAGTAACTTTGATCAGATGACATCAATGAAAGATTTTTTCATCTTTCAAATCACCACAACTTTCACATAGTCAACTTGTTAGACCGGGTTTTTGAGAGTTATAGAACGTATCATTGGAAAGAATAGGGCACAGCAACTTATCTAACTCAGTGAATTAGACGGATCATAAGCAAATCATCTAGATTATTAAACACCGCAGAACAGCCTCCTGCATATTATGATATAATATAGTAAACAAATGAAAGAGCTGTTTGCTCAATAGTGGGCAGCAATAATTTCGGCCTTTGCACTTTCCTGTTCCCCGGGGTCTAGCCGTTCTAAGCATCTATAAAGAGATACATCCAACACCCCCTCTCTGATAAGTGATCCTACGAATAAAAGAATAATCACGACGATTTATAACAAGTTTTAATCCATCATTATGAAATCTATTTCTACTATCATATTATCCTTCTTAATCATTTCTCGCACTCATGGGTTACCAATCAAATCAAAGTCATACACCAACGGTCACGATAATCATTACCATGGTAAAGCAACTTGGTTTCATCCTGATCTAGGAGCGTGTGGTGATTATGATACCGATGATGATGCAATAATTGCTATCAACGAAATCCAAGTTAAATCCTCTTTGCTATTATCAATCAACCCTGTTCCAAAAATTTATTGATTGATTGATTGATTTTTTAAAAATGATAGTATAAAGATGGAGAATCTTGTCAAAAGTCTGTCAAAATCACTAATCCAAGAAATGGTCATTCAGTCAAAGCAAAAATCAAAGATTTAGTTGGGTGTTTCTCTTTTATTTTCTTCTAATTCAAAGGATTTTTATACTTATAAGAATATTGTTATATATGTAGTGTAAAATTTGTCCATATGGTGGTTTAGATTTAGCAAGTAGTGTTTTTAAAAAATTAGAAGATTTAGATAGAGGTGTACTTTCAGTTAAGTTTTTATTTTTTATTTTTTTGCTCATTCATACATTCTTTTATAAGAACATATACTAAACCTTTTTTTGTCATTTTTTTGAATTATCAGATTGATTGGAAATGGGATAATTAATATCTTTCAATATCAAGCTTCTATCTTAAGATAAAAATGGCCCAAGTATGAGCCCTATTATGTGTTCCACGTATCAAGAAATCTTAGTTTCTTCATTTTTCTTTTTTCCAGCTTTACACGTTCTCTGCTTGCAAGCTCGCGCCGCCAAAGAGCACTTGGACTTGGTCAACTTGGGTTTTGTTCCCACATTCCTAATTTCACTCTCCTATTTTTAACCAAATTATTGATTAACTTTGTTATACTTCATTTTGAGCCAAATATGTTCATCCATGCAACTGGTCTTCATTGATCAATGTATCATTATTGATTCTTTTGAATTAGAAATGTGCTGATCCTTTTAAAGAATGATGCTCTTCATATTATTATCAATTGTTTGCCCTTTCAATGGAGCTTCACACTGGAGAACAATTGTTACCTTCAAATGCTTTTAATTGATTATGCCATTTGTATTATCGTTATTCTTTGTTTTGGATGCAGTTTCACAGCCAACATCAGTCGTGCTTCTCTTTTGTGAGGCATCTCAGCTAACCCCGCATGATCTGTGCATTTGCTTGGTCACTCAAAGAATATAGAGACTGTTACAATCTCAACCTTCTTCCATACATATTATTTATTCCTCCATCCTCTTATCTTGTTGTCTTACAATTCACTTAACCTTCCATTTATGTTTTTCAACATCTATTGAGAATTAAATTGTTGAAACCAACAAGCAAGAGTACATAAACTAAATGCTCAACACCACAAAAATTAAGCCCTGCATGTGATTTCAACCTCATATAGGGGAAACATTACAGCTTGTAGTAACATTGAGAATAACAGTGGTGAAAACTTTGGACAGGTTAAAAATATTTGTAAATGTACAATCTTCAATTTGATACTTAGGTCCAAGCACACTTCACCTGTTGTGGGCATATCTGAATGTTCTCTAGTAATGATGAAAATGAACAAAATCGATTTGTCTCTAAGAAGAATGAGCTTTGACATTTGTTTTACTCATTATCAAAAAGATTCCTTCATATAATCCATCAGAAATGTAACTTAATGACAGTGAAACTGAAAATGATCAAGGGATCTGCTGAAATTTTAATTTTCTTGTTTTAAATCTGTATAACAAGATCTTACTATTTATGGTTAAAAATGTTCTAAACAAAAGGAAATCCTGAAACCAGCACATTTTGTTATCTCTGAAATAAGAATCATATTTCCTCAAACTAGGTTTTACTTTGCACTTTAGAATGTTGGTGAGTCATTCATCAAGATTGTGAAAAGATTTCAATTTTTTGAAGCTTTGAAGAAGTCAAGAAACATATACTCTTTCACAACTCATCTGAATTAGACCAGAAGGTGAAAATGGTGCAGAAACTGCCCCAGAGAATGTTCTTCCTCAAGAAAGATCAATTCAAATGACACCTACAGGAAAAATTCTGAAAAGTGTGTCTATAAAGCTTTTTGTTGATTTGCAAAGTTGTCATGAATTGAAATTACAAATTATACTCACCCTTTTCAATTTCCAAGATCCCAAAACTCAATAATTATACTCAAAGGTCAGGCTTATGTGTTTGGAAGTTTTAACAAATTGATCATTTGTGTTGAAAACTGACCAGTGTAGCTTGAAAGACAAAGGCTTCTGATACCTGCGCGCACCTTGGTGTGAGGGACACCAGGCAGGCAAACCGCACATGTGCGGGTGCGTTTTACACATCGCCGCCGTTGCCGCAGTCGACAGCCCTGAACAGCACTCACAGTATCTAGCCGCCATGCGAACACTTGCAAGGTGAAGGCACTCACTGAAGTTATTGAGAAGATCTCGCAAAGGCACATTCAAGAAGTAGACAGATTCATCAATTATATCGTTTCCTCATATGTTATCTAATCAAAGTTAGTTTCCCAAACTTTCAACAAAAATCAAAAACTCATGCATCATAAATCATAAATATTAAAGCTCCTTCATGTAATATATGATAATCGTTATCATCCTCAAGAGAAAGAGGGAGAGAGAGAAAAAGAGAAAAAGAGGATCAAAGTACAAAAAATTAAATAAAATCATCATTATAATAAAAACTAACCAAAAATAACTAAGCAGAATAAAATCAAAAAGACAAAAAAAACAATTAGAAAATAAATAAAAGTGACATTAAACGATATGATTATTATGTGCTGCTTTGCAGGGTTTGAAAAAAAATCAAATAGGAGTAGAAATTAATTGGACTTGAAACTTAGGGCAGACTGAAGAAAAATAGAGAAGATGAAGAGTGGTAAGAGCATGTGAGGAAAGAAGTTCTAAACATTCAAATCTCCACTTCGTAAAGCTTTACCGTAAGCAACTGCCTCAGGATCCTTTTTAACTATGAACGATTGATAAAAACATGAAAAAGAAACATAATCAGAAACCGATTATCAAAACAAAGATAAAGTTGAATCAACTTACCACGACCCTTAACTTCCTCATAAACACCTTTCAACTTATCACCAATCGGTACTTTCTTCTTCTCATGATCATCTTCTTCAGGAATAGGAGTTTCCGAAACATCCATAGATTTACGTGTTACATCCATCGATTTACGAGTCGATGCATCTAGTGATTTTCGTCCGGGTACCTTTTCACTAGATCTACCAAATCTTCGAATACTAAGACGAATCTTTCGTCCCATTCCTTCACCAGTTCCAACACTAGGTTGGTTTTCTTTACCTTCTACTACATCTGTTTGGGATTGAGTAGTAGGGAAGGAAAGAGTGCTGGGGGCTTCTCCGATTGGTGTGGTTGAAGGTTCGAGTGGTGCAGTGGCGGGTTCGGCGACGGCTGGAGTTGTTTCCGCTGGAGTTACGGTTGGCTCTTGAGCTGTCAAATCAATGGGTAGGTTAATACGGTATAGAGAATTAGACATAAGTGAGATGATTGAGCTTACCAGTGGATGGAGATGCCTCAGGAAGACCTGGAACAGGTTCAGAAAGACCTGGTTCACCGCCAGTGATAGGGCCTACAACCGCTGTCTCTACAGCTGGTTCCTCTGGTTTCACTTCGACAGGAGTCTCTGGAGCCGCAACAGGAGCTTCTTGGACGGGTGCAAGAGTTTCTTGGACAGGTGCAGGAGCTTCTTGGACAGGTGCAGGAGCTTCTTGGACGGGTGCAGGAGCTTCTTGGACGGGTGCAGAAGCTTCTTGGACGAGTGCAGGAGTTTCTTTAACAGGTGCAGGTGCCTCTACAATCGGGGCAGGAGTGGCTTCGACAACCGGAGCGGGGGTGGTTTCAACAATTGGTGCAGGAGTGGCTTCGACAATCGGTGCAGGTGGTGCTGGAGTAGGTTGAGCCACTTCAGCTGGTGGCAACTCTTTTGTTGCCGGCACGGGTTCTTCGACAGCGGCAGGTGCGGTTTCAGCTGGTTCCGGAGTTTGAGGGAGGGCAAGGTCAGAAGCGCTTGCTAGAGGAAGTTCACCAGGTACGTGGAGTGTCGCATCGGTGGAGATGGGCTCAGCCGCAGTAGGAGTCTCTTCTGGAGTAGCAGTAGCAGTAGGAGCTTCTTCTAGAATGGCAGCAGTAGCAATCGGATCAACTTCAGTTCCGGTAGCAGCAGGAGTGGCGACTGGTGTTTTGGTCGTCATAGATGGCATGCTGGGTAACTTAGCCTTGAGGGATGATATAAGACCAGGCATGATGAAGTAGTAATGAGTTCTAAGAGGTAAGATAGTTGAGAGTAAAAGTAAAAGAGGATGAAGTGAGTTGAGGTGATAATGTAAAGCGAAGGAAGTGCTTTTAAAGGTAAAGAGAGAAGTAAGGTTTCAGATAAGAGAAAAGGAAAAGAAAAGCCAAAGTATGATGATGTAATTTATACTGTTGATCTGACGCCAAAAAAAAACTTTAAAACTAGTTTTCAATTTATGTAAAACACTCAGCCAAGGTATGTAAAGAGTTGAGGATGTGATCGAAAAATGTAAGTCTGTACCTGTAAAAGATAGTTGATCGTTTAAGTCAGGTACAAGATCGTCTTGGGAATAGATACTGATACTGATGGCAATGGATATTATTAGAATTAGAATAATGATAAAATGTTTTCTGAAGAGACTCTATCAATGGTTCTTATACGAAAAAATTGAACCTGTTGACTGAAAATTCAATCTTTCTTTTTGGTTTGAAAGAGTCTACAATTTGGTATGATATCAAAGAAAGACCGTGCGATTGATGATTGAAGAAGTTCGTTTTAATTGATTTCTTGGAAAAGTAGAAAACTCTGGTAAAAATCAGTTCAATTCGACTTAATCCAACATCAAAACTCATGTCTGTGCTTTGGGTTATCAAAGAACATTTCTTCTGATCTTCTCTCATTATTCCTTCTTAGGAGTAACTTACGGGTGTTTGAAATGAAAACTTATTCTCACATTTCTCTTTCATCCTCGAAGCACGTCGTTGCTATCCTGACAAGCGGTCTTTTGCCACATCTCCTTTGGAAAAGCGTTCTGTTTGATGAATTCTGACGTAAAGTGAAATATACTCATCGAGATGTGCTCGTAAGACCCACGGGTTCTCAAGCCCTTTTAGAGAGGAAGCATTGAGAATGGGGGAAACGCGAGTTTTGAGTACACTCACAGTCCAAGCTCTCAATCATCAATCCGGAATGAAGACCCTATGTGAGTTCGTAAAACTTGCCTCAGTTTGAGGTATGAATCTCATGAAAGCGTTGACAAAGAATGCGTAGATCTTGATCCAGACAAGAAAGTTGGATGGACACAAAATGCGAACAGGAGGTATACATGTATGTATGGTGGTAGAAGGTGGAGAAGGGACTTGATTCTCCACATGAGTCAAGTCAGAGAGATCATTCTCAACAGGTCTCCATCCACCCTGCCCCCGTTGCAGGTAAAGTGATCTCAATCGATCAACAGAAAAAGTCACAGCTAACTCAGGCTCTACTTGATCGATAAAACTCTCCATCGACATAAGTTTTTGGGGAAGATAAACAAGTTTATCAACGGCTCTGAATCTGTCTGCAGTGCACGTTGTAGTATATGGCTTTTAGCATTGCAGCCTGGTGGCATTGAAAAGGAGATCAATCTTGTTAACAACTGACATTCTCGTGGTGGGCGCGGGCTTTGGATTTGATCAGGTGCGTCCCCTACAGGATACAACGTACATGCTGTCAACATCAGAGCTGGGATAATGACAATTAAATAAGCAGAACAAACCCATTCCATGAATCATGGATATCATTGAACAACGTGATGACGAAGATATATTCTATGTAAGCTGATTGAGCAATTGGAGTGTCATTGAGCTCCAATAATTCCCAAGAGTGAGAATCATCATCTGGTTCCAACATAGACTTTTGAGAAGCAATTTGCCTAAAAAGCCCTTCAAGACTGACAGTAACAGGTACTGTCTTCAAGATTTTGACAGCAAACTTTCCAAAAGATAGACCCTGGTCCCAAGACGCGCCTGGGGCACTGGCAGTCCCAAATGATGGCCAATCCCTGCATGTCCGCTAAAATGAATTCTCAATACCTCTAAAAGATATGAAGGAAAAGTTAAACAGAGTCCGGTTTTTGAAGATTCAAAATCTGTTTTCAATAATGAATAAATACAATCATAAATAAATACAATCATAGATAGATATAAATACATAAATATCACACATTGAATTCTATAGTTCACATGATACATAAAAGATCTCATAAATATTTCTTGAAAGTCCACCACTCAGAATAAAATACAATCACAAGAACCCAGATCACCTGATAAATACAAATAAATAATACATACATCAAAGTTTTGATTTCAAGAACAAGACTCTTATGAGAGAGCTTTGTCTGTTCATAATTGTGCATGACTTCTCTTAGTCTTAGTAGAGCCAGAAGTAGGTTGGGTTGTAGGATTTGAAGTTATGTAAACCTTCCAAGCAGTATGCATGAGTACCACAAAGGCTTGTCCTTCAGGACTTTGTTTACCAGGTGATCCATCAAATGCAGCTTTTGAATTCCAATTTAATGGATCTACAACAGTAGAAACACTTCCAGTCTTTGGATCCAGATGTTTTTCTAAGATTGTTTTTCTGGCTGCTTCTACTTTCTGCATTGGTAAGATTGTGTTAAATTTCTTGTTTAGGTTTGCTAGTCGATAAGCTGTTGCGGTGATCAGAGCTGTTCCTGATACTTCTTCAACTAATCAAACAAAGATATTTTGGAATGTAAGAATTAGTTATCATCCTTGTTTTATATTCAAAGTCTTATACGGATTTTTATAACACCTACATGTTTCAGAAGGTTTCTTGTCAAAGTAATTTGGAAGTAAGTTGCTTTTTGGAGATTGAAATTTAAAAGATCCCACAATGATCTCAGAAATCCAACTTTCTAAATCAGTTTTCATCTTGGTTAACTTTCCAGCTAATTCTTTATTCGAGACTGCTTCCATGGTCTGTCTAACTCTCATCATACCAGCAGCAGCCCATCCATTACCGGTACTCCATATACCAGTGTCCTGGAATGAACCTATGATAGAAGAAAAGATTGCGCGTCAGACGTCTTGCTAGCTTTGCATTAAATGAAGATTATCTTACCCTTCAGGATATGTCTCCATGTTCTAGATTTTGGATCGAGTAGAACGTCACGATTATATTTACATTGGAGGTACGAGTTCTCTAATACGGCATAATCCGAATTCATGGCGCCCAGGTAAGCAATGAAAGGAGGGACCATGTGAACAAAATCAGACCTGAGATTTTGACGAAACGATAACCAACAATTAGTCTCACTGGACCTTGGAAAAGAAGAATGGGAAAAAAATGTGGCATTGACTGACCAGTATTGGACCTCAGATTCACGTTGAGAGATAGCCCCATTCTTATCCTTTGGAACTTTAGTAATCAAATGATCGTATTGTTCTTGTGCTATCTTTAAATAATCATACTTGGGTTTCTTATTGGCTCGTTTTGAAGCATTATCTAAAACCAAAAGTGGAACTCCAAGACTAGCAGGATCAGCAGCTGCTCCATCCGCTTCAATGATCGTTGTAGCATTCTTTGCTCGTTTGGCTAAGAGTGAATCTACTAATTTAAATAATGGTTCTGGTTGCCAAAGTTTTGATGTCGGAGTAGTTGGTAATGGAAGACTTGCTTTTGGTGCAAATACACTTAGTTCGGAATTTCCGTTGAGTTGTAACATCACTTCTGCATATGTTCCGTACTCCCAACTGTAAAAAAATGACGAATGATATATTTGCTGGGTCAGTAACTCTTATAACTACATCGCGGGCAAGATAGTTTCAAAACCTCGTTCAAGGTGTGATTTTGGAGATTATTCTGAACTCTAATCCAAGATGAATGATACAGTCTAACCCGCGCTGTTGTATACCCGCGCATATGCATATCCAGCCAAAATGCATAGGTTTTGGTCTCCACCACGCTGGTGCGGGCCAAAACAAGATTTTAATTGCATATTGCATGATGCATAGGGTCAAAGCAAAAAAAATTATATCTTGGAAGCGGTATTGCATAGGTCAAACCCAGTGATGTGGTGGTGATACTGACAAAAAGCAACAGCAGTTGTGCTTTGGAATGATCAGCAAAGTGATATCACCCACCTCACACGATCTTCGGCTCCCTTAGATCAATTTGCATCTTTTTTCATCATGCCTGCTACTGAAAACAAGGAATTAGCTCACATAGAGGGCACTGGTACAGCTTCTGGTCTCAAATTGGACAACTCTTTGCAGAAGTATGCCGAGATGCTTGAGTCCGAGCTGTTTTTTGGTAACAAAAAACAAGTGGCAATAACTGATTTCTTCCAACGTGTGACTATATCTAACACTTGATTATTGATAGCCTTCAAAAATACTTCAATTTCTTTCTTTTTGTACATGTCGTACCAAATAAGCACAAGTCCTCAAAAGTTATTGTTTGTTGACTGTTTTTTGTAACACATTGTACTTGATAAAGCATGTTCTTGAAAACAATTGTTTTTGTTTCTTTCTGTACATATCGTACTAAATAGACAACAAATGTCCTCAAAATTAAACACTTTCTTACTGAAGTTTTCCCACCTTCACCCTCTCTTGTCCCATATGGGTGGGGTAATACAATAACCGTACTAATGCATAATTCTATGCAATACACCCCAAAATCTAAATGCATATTTTTATGCATTTTGGGGGTGTAGGTCAAAAAGCATAACCCGTCTAATTGCATAGGAAAGTGAGTCTCCCCAAATTATGCATTAGCGCGGGTTAGACTGTATGTAGTTCTTGAACCAGATTACTCTGAACAAGGTTTCAAGTGGGGTTTCCCGCAGGATTGGGACTGAGGTGAAAGTGACATGGACATTACCTGTGATTGCTTATACAACCAAGTACTTCATACGCAAGATTGATCGAAGGCTGATAATCAGGCTCCTTAACAGCGTCAATCTGATACATAGTACTCAAGAAAATGTAAATATATAATGGAAAATAAATCATTTTGGAAAATGATATGATAAGTTGGTATCGATCACTGTTAACCTAGCCACGAGATGATGATATAAAGGGTATAACTTTCCAAATCGTAGAACAGAAAGATACCAATATGTAAGTAGATAAATATATACCAAAGAAAGTAGTTACTTCAAGCAGAGAAAGAATTCAAAGGTAATGGAGACTCTGATGCTGTGATTGCATCCTTCTAGAGCCACACACGTGCGCCTTTTATACACCGGAAAGGCCTCTCCTGGTTCATCGCATGGGATAACAAACCGGTATGGAAAGTCCACAAAACCAGTTTTGGCAAGATCATGGGGGTCACAATTTTCCTGTCTGGCATATGTTTCAAAGTCGAGGTTCTGAACGCTGAAGATAAATCAAAAGGCGCCACATCGACCTCTTCACAAACCCAATTTGTGCAATGTTTGTAAACCAAGTGAGGATAGTATACTACAATTCAAAGATGTGCCATTTGTATGATAAGTCTCTTCGAACTTACATGTAAGCTGAATTTCAGGAGACAGAGCGTTGACTTTGATACCGAGAACACTTTACATCTCACCTTTGGTGTGGCTGGGCTTGTCGCTGTTTCAATGAAACGAAAATGCACCGATTTGATTCAGTGATGTCATCAAGCGAACCAGCATTTCGAATTCAAAAATGTGAATCAGAATCCCTTTGCTCCAGCTCATCCTGTTGCTAAGGTTTTACTCAGAACATATATCCTTGCACCTACGTCAACTTACACCACAATTTGTTGTTGAGCTTTTTAAGCTTCCTCAAGAAAACCTCCGTCTGACATGAACCTAACATCGAAAGAAAACAGCTTGGCCTCGACAAAGATACAATGAGGCTGAAGTTTAAGTCACTGGAACTGAGTCTTGCAATGAAGTCTGTTCCATGGAAGAAGGTCTTAGGGGCATTGGCACTGGAATGAGTTTCATGGGTGTGCACTGTGTCCGACTGATTCTGATTCTAAATGGCTCAGAGATTGTCCTCAAGCCAAAAACGCATGGGCAACTCTACTCTACTTGTACTTCACACACATTGTATGTCCATATGTAGCCTCACCTGTAATTGCACATTTTTGGACTGATTTTTCTTTTTGTCTATCTTTCTCTCTTAAGGCATTGGTAGATCATAAACAATATGGGCAGATAGAGTGAAACAGATATGAGGCAATGAGCAGACTTAAATAAGCCTTACATAATGCTTTCAGGATGTACTATGAAAGCACTACATGGGATTTGGTTAAGTTTGGGCAATGGTGATCAGTAAGATTCCTAGGACACAGTATGGATGCAATGGATTAAAGGAAATGTTTGACTGTCTCTATGCTTTGTTGGCAATCACAGAGCAGGTCAATAGGCTGTTTGAAACAGTTTAGATATGAGTTGAGTGGTACATGGACTGATCTTAGTTGTGTTATGGTGGCTGGAAGTATGATGCTTGTGCAGATTAATCCATCAAGGTGTTTCTTGGCAACGTCGGGCCGTTGCGTTGCGTTGTGAGCAACTGCTTGTTGCGCGCAACGCTGTAGAACTTATAACCCAACAAGGGTTATACAGAGCTGGAAGAGGATAATCTACTAATAAAATGACTAGTAGAAGTTGTCTAAGGACTGCTCTTCTAAAACAACACAATCAGAAAGAGCTCTGTTGTATTGAGTACTGATAAGGCACCAGAGAAATATAACTTCACATGTAATTTTAACTTCAAAAGCACACTTTGTATTACTATCAACACTGCTATAGTGTTATTCCCAATTGATAACTGAAAAAAAATAAGCAATATCTGATTGATATTATTCCCAATAAGTCTTTATGACTATAAAACTAAAGTAAATTTCTCTTTATAACTGTAATAAAGGGCGTATTTAAGTGAACAGGTACTATTAAAATAAGTTTATGATGATAAACAAAATAATAATGGCGTAAATGATAAAGAAAAAAAGGGGAACAACAGTCCCAAAACCCTCTCAAAGTATATATAACAATGTACTAGAACTTTTACAATGGTCAACAGCCTCAAAACCAATCAAATCCGCCCAAAATTCCCTAAAAACCCTATGATGACGCAATGTAATGGTTTTGTTACTAATAAATGATGTAATTTTCACAGCTAAAAGTGATCAATGACGCAATAATATGATGTACAGCACTTCTTATGATGAATACAGGTGATTTTTTTCTTGTAAACTAGCTGAAAACCAATTTTTGAGATTACGAATTTTTTCAGATGTGCTCCAATTTTTGATTACTAAAGTGCATCTTGTAGCCCACGTGTTACTGATCATTTCTGACACCTACATGACCTACTTCTGATGAGTGATGAGTAAGATATTGAGTTGTGAAGTTAAGGTTTTTAGTGTTACATATGACTTGTGACTGTAAATTCGAGATTCACACCAATTCTTTATTTGCCTTATAACTTTTTACACACACCTCCGTTACTAATGATTTAAAGTTTGTACATTATGTAATCCACTCTTCTGCGTTGAATGAGCCATCTACCAACCTATTCTGACGTCATTTGACATATGTAATTAGCTGAAAACCTCCATTTTCCACGAATTTCACCCATTTTCTTCACTTTTCACAGCTACTACTATCTTTTTCTTGCTCATGTAATATGACATCATCATCTATAGCCTTAAAAATCCCGGAAAATCCTCTTGGCAACCTTAAATTCCATCACTACCACTATTACACAACCAAACTACACGTGTACCTCTTGTTTACCAACTTCGAAAAAGTGCTTTTTTCCTAATAACTTCTGTTTCTACTTATCAACCTTGAAGATTAAAATTGTCATAGTATCGTATAATGTTTTTCTTTCATATTCTAACCTCATAATACCCATAACTTTATTTTTACTAACCTAAAAACCATTTTCCAACCTTTATACCTATAATTTCGAATTTTTCTTATGTTTTTCTTTCTTTCTTTTTGTAATAAATTTGTAAGTAAACTATAATGATCTTAATATATAATGTGAAATAAAATGATGTAATGTTGACCTAATGACCAATACATAAGCCTACAAGAGCTTCAATTGATCAAAAACCTCCATTTCGAATTTTCTTTCCTGCTGATCCTGCTAATAAACTGGTAAACATGGTAAATTGTGAATTTTTTAATTGATCT